ATACACGAGAGTCTATAATCTTGCTCGCCAGCAGCATTGTAGCGCACATTCCCAGGCTGTTCTGTGCCAAGGGTGACTGCTGCCTTTGATATTATGAGGATTACCGCTGTGCTCAAGGCATGACTCGTGAGGAGTCAACACATCCATCCAGGAATTACCAGGCCATACCATGGCAGCCAAGCATCTCGAAGTAATTGAAGTCGCGGCTGTCCCGGGACCTCCCGGTCCTACGAGATACCAACTTTGGTAATTATGACATCATCAATGGAGCTAGCCCGCGAGCTGGCTTGAAAACGAGCTGACGATCAGCTCGTTTCTAGGCGTTTCGGCTTAGCTTAGCTTCTTGCAACAAGCTGGGCGTCTAGTTGACAAGCTGAGCTAGCTGGATAAGCCGGCCCGGCTTGGCGGCAACACTAGCTGACTCCGCCATAGGGTTGCTTGACAAGCGCTCAGCCGTTTATTCGTCACGGATGGAGTCGTCCATCGTAGCATTGTGAGTGCAGAAAGTCAATCTGACGATCTCGTATATCCTCACTGCTCATGTCAGAACCGGATGGAATTTCACCTTCGGCTTCCTCCCCTACCAATCAACGTTGGCGAGACCACAGGCGGCTGTTCTCCAAGCACTTCCATCCTGATGTCCTCCACCGCTATTGGCCGGCTCAGCGCGCAAGTACTCTACAACTTCTCCAAAGACTCCTTGGCAACCCGGAGAATATGAGTAGACATGTCCGCTAGTAAGCCTACGCCTACTACATGCGTTCGCAATACTTGACAACGGAACGCGACGCTACAGCATGCGTGGTGCTACGATCAATGGAATCACGTATGGGCTACAAGTGGCCGAAAGTAACGACAGGTATATTGGCGCTTTCGAATCAGGAAACAAGAGTCTGGAGCTGCTCATAGCGGTTACATTTGTACTGGACTTCTTGCCAGCACTAGGAAGACTCCCGGCATGGCATCCCGGTGCAGGCTTCCTTCGATACCTAGAGCATGCTCTCCAAGGAACGTGGCATCTTCGCAACGTACCGTGGTCTGCGGCTCGGGAAGCAGTCGTGAGCTACTTTTCCTCTTTGCCCTGATAGCTCCCCTCTCAACTAACCACAACCGATCCCGCCGCAACAGAGCGCAGGAAGAGGGCGCGGGTGTATAGCTCAAGCAATAATAGAGCAATCTAACCGTCCCGGCCATAGCACAGCAATGCATGAGGAGGAGCAGATGGCACGAGATGTCGCAGGGGCAGTCTACATCGGTATATTGGGCTACCTATACTCTAACTGCACTGAAGTCCCTGACGCCTGGCTTGTATAGGCGCAATGGATACGGTATGGTCAGGAAGCCTTCAAGTAGCCGTCATGCTCAACCGGTTCATCATCACAGTCGTACAGCGCGATCTGCAACTTCTTCGTGGCGATGTCACTTTTCCCCGATGTGCAGAGACACTCTCAGGCTGAACTGGATGCCGTCGTCGTGTCTGGCCGTCTTCCCGAACTTACTGACCGCGACGCCCTTCCGTACACGAATACTATAGTGAAAGAGATCTTGCGATGGAATACCATCGGCCCTCTTGGTATCGCTCATTCCAGCACTTCGGACGACGAGTACCGTGGATACTTCATACCCGCGAAGAGTACGGTTATGGTAAACATATGGTACATGCCCCACTCTCCCACATGTGACTGATACCTCTATATGTCGAGCCGCTGGAATCCTAGGTCTATACTGCACGACCCGAACGTGTTCCCGGAGCCGGAGAAGTTCAATCCGGAACGCTTCTTAAAGGATGGACAGCTCGACACTAGCGCGATCCGAGACCCGGCTGATCTCGTGTTTGGCTTCGGTCGTCGGTTCGTGTTTGATCCTCGTCAACATGCGACTACACAGCCTGCTACCTAACCTCCGCGTCTCCAGGATCTGACATGGAAGACATTTTGCTGATACCACTCTTCATGATCATCGCCTCGGTGTTGCGTGCATTCACCATCAGACCTCCCCTCGACAAGAATGGTCAGTCAATCCGCATTCAACCGCGGGCCACATCCACGCTTGTTTCGTGAGTTTAGGCTAGTCTTCGGAGACCTGACAAGTGTTGTATGGGCATATCGAGGATTGCCGATGCACTATCACTCCGCGTTCTCAGAGCGCAGAGGCTCTGATACACAGCTTGAGCATGGACTCTTCGTAGGGTCTCGTTCACCTTCATGATCGTATATGTACCTCCACGTACTGTTGAAGGAGCGGAAGTCATTCAGACTTAGACAACTGGCGCATTGCCACGACAGTGCCCATTCTTTCTCATCGCGTCATCGTGCCGGCGTGAACAGCCTGTAGCTAATGGCTTCCTTACCTCGAGTAATTCTCGCTCGTTCCCAAAACATAACACCGAAGGAGTTGTCCGTGCAGTCAATGCTTATATTTGTCGATCTCATTCCGGCGACTCGTCAGGTTTCGCTGGCATTCTCTTGTAGGCAACTCACTGTGCAGTCATGAGGTACCGGAGCTCGACGACAAAATAGGCGGGAAATCAGGGAAAACCATGTGCAGAGGAATGAAGACAGGTTCAGATAGTGGACCTGCGGCAATGACCACCGTCGAGCATCCAGAGACCTACCACGTCAGGATTGTGGAAGCGATATCGATGACCTGCGAAGTCGGCAAACAGCGCTGGCCTGGGTGGCTGTCGGAAGACTGGGATTGTATTGTGTTTGTCTCAAACGCTATGGTACACTAGTCATGTAACCTGACTGGGCAATCCAAATGACTGAATAGTATGGTGGGCACGCGCAAGGGTTTACCCGTGAATGCTTGCGTGATTCCTGATTGTCCTAATGTCCATTCCATTACGCTTCCAGTACTCTGTAGATCTGAGTAGAAAATGTCGTCAGAAAGGGATTAGTAGAGATCCCATGGCACGCTGCTCGTACCTTAACGGCCCCGCTCTTCAAATCTTCAAGACGATAACTGACAGATTCAACGCTCTATTGGCTGCGATCAGCAACGCCCCAAAACATCAACACCGAACGTCCTGTAACATACCTGCTGCCCAACGTGCTGATTTGCCTGATAAACCTTGACCTTGGACTTCTTCGGCTCAAAGTCGCCAATCACGCCAACAAGAGGCTGGTCGATGCCCACGCTCTGGTGGTAGCTCTGCAGGCCCTTATGTCCCTTGAACTTGGCATCGGTCACGACGATGATGTCTCCAGGCATAATGTCGCTAACACGCCTCTGCACCGCGGCTGCCGACTGACTATAGACGAGGTAACCAAACGAGTCGAGCGCGCCCGTCGGTTGCACGGCGTTGGGCACCTGGCCAATAACAGCATTGACGAAACCAAGGTACGAACCGTCCCCAATGACGGTTTTCTTCGACTTCTCGAAGAATGCTGCAGCGATCTCGTGCACTTGCACGCCGACGCGGCCCCACTGCGCCTGCAGTTCCTCAGGTGTCAAGTGTTGCTCAGGGGGAGGTGGACGGCTAGGAGCGGCTGGCTGAGGTCGCTCGATCTGTGCGGAGGCTGCAGGCGCAGGTGCAGGAGGGTAGGTCGTCGAGTCCTCAGACCATTGTCCTGAGAGAGACAAGTCGGTCTCGCCGCCAAAGTCGATGTTCGGCATGGAAGGTGCCTCCCATTGCGGATCTGCCTGCTCAGGGGCAGCAGAAGGGGCATGCGGAGGTGCACGACCCGGTGCACGACCAGCACGTGGTGGCGGTGGCGGAGGTGCTTCATCGCTCTGGGGTTGGTCGACAACAACGAAGTCTCCCTGTGTCTCAGTAGTCGGGGGCGCTTGTGGCACGTGTGGCGGCGGAGGGTATGTGAACGCGGAAGGGGCCGGTGGGCGAGTTCTAGGAACTGGAGGTGCTGAGGCGAAGGAAGGAGTTGGCAGAGGACGTGACTGGGGAACAGGCGGCGGTCCGGAAGATACGCGTCGTGCATTGCGGTTAGGAACAGGTGGCGGCGCTTCTTCCTCAGCGTCCTCGTGCGTGACTTCCTCGAGTTCGCTCTCCTCATGCTCGATGTGGTCGCTGTCGGAGACATGCTGGTAGTCCGACTCCGACCCATGGTCTTCTTCAGCTAGAGGAGGGGGTGGAGGTGGAGGTACGGGCGCAGAGCGCTTAGGAGGTGGAGACTTCACGCTCTCCTCGTCCTCCTCATCGCGCTGCACGCGAGGCGGCGGTTTAGGCGGGGCAGCGCCAGGCAACATTCCGAAGCGCATACCTCCCTGCATTGCAATACGTGCAGCGATACGCTGCTTACGGGCAAACTCGTCCTCTTCCTCTTCCTCTTCCTGTGGTACCTCCTCAGACTCCTCAGCCTTCTCTTCGGCTTCTGCGCGCTCGTCCTCCGGCTCAGATGGCGGCGGGCGACGAACTGAAGGCATGGGAGGAGGGGCGCCGAAGCGAAGACCGCCCAGTTTCGCCATACGCTCTGCGATAGTGCGGCGGCGGGCCTGTTCATCATCCTCTTCGTCGTCTACAGTCTTTCCCTCCTGCGGCTCTGCAGGGGGAGAAGCGACAGCAGCGCGAGGGGAGGTGATGGGCGGGGCCGGCGGGGATGCAGCTCGCTCGGGCGCAGGCGGCGGCGAGACGACCCTCTGCAGGGGAGGCGGAGGTGGTGAAACAACTCGTTGCGGGGGAGGCGGAACCGAGCTAACTGGGGGCGGAGAGACCACTCTCGCAGGAGGTGGTGGAAGGGACGCGAGAGGCAAGGAGGTAGCCTGAGGAGACGTCGCAGGGAGTGATGAGCCTGCAGATCTCTGAGGGCTGTAAAAGCCAGGGTCAATTGGGTCTGCAAGAACAATTTGTTCAGCTCTGGCATTCCGAGATCACACCGTACGAAGCAAACGCTTACCGCCATCAGCCTCATCGAGCACCTCACGTTCAGCGGGGAGGTCGTGCCTCAGCGGAGGAGGTGCGGGAACGCTCCTAGTCGAAGCCGGTAAAGATGTCACAATATGAGACACTGGGCGGGCAGAACGAGGTGGAGGTGGAGGAGGCGCGGGCACTGCGTCTTCCTCCGCCTCTCCTGGCTTACCCGCCTCCTCGTCAGCCTCTACTGCGGGAGGTACACGATGGGGTGGAGGCGGAGGAGGAACATTAGCTGAATTGCCGCGAGAGGGGAATCCGGGCGGGGGCGGCGGGACCGGTTCCTCCTCTTCCTCCTCTTCCTCCTCATAGTTCTCACTAGGGGCAGAAGGTGGGGGCGGAGGTACGGCTATAGGACGGGGAGGCGGAGGTGGGGCGGGCTCATTTTCGACGTATTGCTCGTATTCTTCTTCTCGTTCGTCATGCTCGTATACAGGCTCCTCTTCATGTTCGCCTCCAACTTCTCGTGCATGCGCAGCATAAGCCTCGTCTTCGTCGACATAGCGGATTTCTCGTTCCTCTTCGACTTCTTCGTCGACCGCAGGAGGCGGAGGCGGAGGCGGAGGCGGAACAGAGACGCGACGAGGCGGGGGAGGCGCAAAGTCTCTCCTCGGTGGTGGGGGAGGCGTGCCTTCTTCCTCAGCCTCCTCAGGCTCACTCTGAGGGATAGTCGGAGGGGGTCTCGTCGCGCGGGGTGGCGGCGGTGGAGCAACGGGCTCTTCGGGCTCATCTACAACGTTCTCAGGCTCCTCCGTGCCTTCATGTGCTACCGCGGCCTCTTCATCGTGCCCAATCTCATCGTGCAATCCTTCCGTGTATGTCTCGTGCTCATCGCCACGTGGCGCCGCTTCTTCCTCCTCATAAGCTTCCTCGATAGGTTCTTCGTGTAGTTCATGTGCAGAAGCGGGTGCGAGCGCGCTGGGTTCGGACTCTTCACCAACTAAAAGCACAGCTTGATCAATACCTACTCATACAACCAAAACACGATCCTCGAAGCACGGGAAACTATTCACCATCCAAAGACGACTTCCTTGCTCCACCGCTCTCCACCGAGCCAATGCTTGCTTTCCGTTCCGGCAGCGACGGCTTCGGCGAGGTCGCTTCCTGCTGACTGTCGCGACGAACAGGCGGAGGCGGGGACGCCGGGGAACGCACCGAATCGATACTTTCTCTGCGGACAGGGGGAGGGGGAGGCATGCCGCCCGCGAAGGGATTGAAGCCCCCAGACTTGGCTATGCGTTCGGCGATACGCTTGCGACGCGCTGCTTCCTCTTCCTCTTCCTCCTCTTCCTCGGGCTCTCCAGCAGGCGCCTCAATTTCTGGAGCGGGCGCCTGTTCGAGCTCGCGATCGTCCTCATGCTCGCGCTGCGGCTCGGCTTCAGCTTCAGCTTCGTGCGCCTCTGCCTCCTCCGGCTCGGGCTCATCAGTGACGGGGACATCGTGCTGGGGCTCCTCCGTGACAGGCTCGTGCGCATGGTCTCTCACAGCGAGCTCCTCTTCCTCGATGACGGGAGCCGACGTCTCAGTGGAATGCTCTTCCGGGTGAGATTCCACCGCAGGCTCCTGGGGCACGACAGGCTCTTCAGCAACCTCCTCCTTTGCTGGCTCGGCCACTTCTGGGACGACCGTCTTGACTAAGTCCCCGATCTGGCCCTCGGTGACCTCGGGCTGACGGTCACCGCGCTCCTCAGGCAGAGCAACAGCCTCGTCCTTTTCATCAGAGGGAGCTTCATGCTTATGAATAGATATGGCGGGACTCTCTTGAATTTCCTGATCGAGCAAAGGTGGTGCAGGCGAGGGTGACTTGGGAGGACGCTTGCGCGGAGGGGCTGCCCTCTTCGGGGCTTGGGGAACTGGCATGTGTGGAGAGCGCACGGGGGTCGGGTCGGGAGAAAGGAGAGAAGATGCGCCTGAATCCTTGCGCACGGGAAAATATTCTGTAGGAGAATATCAATATGTGTACTGCTGTGTCCAATGCATGAATACGCACCGCCAGAACTCTCGGCCTTGCTCTCCGCAACAGAAAGGGGCAGCTCGATAGCAGCAGCTTGTTCCACAGAAGGACCTGCGACGAGAACACATCGTCAAGCTCGTGTGTTTCGACCCGATCAACCCAGTCTACGACTCACCCTCGGGCACATCCTCTGCGGAGGGAGAGACGACCGCCAGCTTCTCCTCCTTGGGCACCTCTTCAGCCGGCTTCTCCTCCTCCTTCGGCTTCTCCTCACTCTTGGAGAGCTTCTTAGGCGGGATATCCGGCTTCTTCGCAAAGATGGGCGGGCCCATCCCGACCCTCGCGCCTCCCAACCTCGCCATCCTCGCAGCGAGCGCTGCTCGTCTCTGCCTCTCTTCCTCCTCCGGATCGGGCTCGCCCTCCTCCCTGCCCTCTCCGTCTCCCCCTTCTTCTACCTTCTCGCCCTCCGTCGGGGGCGATCGCACGCGCTCCACGCCTTCGTCTTCTCCTGCGGTCGCTGGGGGACTAGTAGCGGCAGCAGCAGGCCTCTCCTCCGCTTCATCCCCGCCAATCGGCTCCACCCGCTGCACGACCGGTGGCGGCTTCCACTTGGGCTTCTCGCCCGAAGGCCGAGGGGGAGGGGGAGCACCGCCAAACGCCGTGGAGCCCTGTAGCGCGGCCATGCGCTCCTTCAACGACAGTTTCCCGATGCTCTCCTTTGCGTCCGCAGCGGACATCCCCGCATGCCTATTGCCGTTGCCGCCAGCGTCATCGCCAGCGTTAGCGTGGGTAGATGAGGAGGATGGGGACTTGGGCGATGTCGGAGAGGCAGGTTTGGGCTGCCAGGTGACGTGCGCGGGCTTCGGGCGGGGTGGGGGAGGGGCGGGGGCGGGGGCGGACGCGCCCTTGTTCTCGAAGGCGGCAATGCGGTCGCGCAGCGAGCCGACTTTACGGGGTGGGGGGTCCGACATGCCGCTATACTGATCTCTAGTACCTCAATCTCACTGTCAAGCAAGCTTTAGAGTGACAATGGGGGAGTGAGAGAAGCTTGACGACGACAGAGAGAGATGATGTTGCGGGCTGAGGTCACTGGCGGCTACGGGCGCGTAGCCATTCCAGGCCTGTCCCGGCGTTGTAGCGCCTCGGCGGTCACCGGCCGGCCTCGGTATGGTTATCGTCGTCGCTGTGCCGCTCATCCAGCGAGCAGGGTTACGCCCTCAGAGTGCACCTGCAGGAGTGAGTGCTGCTAGAGGCATAGGGGATTGAGGTGAAGGACGTCATGGTTCTTCACGAAACACATCAGGACTTGGATCTACGTGAGAAGACGCCAAACGTTGCCGCCGAGAGGAATTTCAGCTCTTCTTCGGAGCGAGACAGAACTTAGAAATATAATCATATACTATGCGTGTCGGTGTTACAGTCGTGTGTATCTGGTGGAGGCCTAGCACTAAGCACCAACAGATCAAGTCATAAAAATACCGTATGATTGCCCCTGACCCTAAATTACGCATCCAGGAGATCACACAGGCCCCGCTTCTTGAGCATCTTCAGTTTTCCATAACCAAAAGGGACCTAACAAGTTACGCTGCTTATGAGACAGAGTGCTAGAGCGACCACTCGAGAAATGACGTACCGACCGGGTCGTGTCTGTCGTGCAACACAGTCGTCCATGACCCCAGCACCCCGAACTTAGAACGCACATTCCCAACTTGGACGCCCTCGGAGCTGTGACAATGTTATCAGGTAGGCGAGGTAGGCGAAAGCTCTAAACCATGTACACATTTGTTCACACACCTCCATATAGAGTTTCCTTGCTCGCCGGAGGTAAAATGCCATCGAATTTGGTCGTCCGGGGTCACCTTCACGTAGCCAACGATAACAGCGGTCCCTTCTATGGACCCACCGAAATTGATACGAGGCCGGCCGGGGTGCTCAGGATCTTCATCGGTCCCAAGCACGCGCAAGTCCACGCAGATTGAGCGGAAAACCTCTATGAACTCGGGATCATCGAAAATCTCGGTATGTAGCGGATCACTATCAGACGTCTACATGGGATACCGAGTCAGCTTGGAGCAAATGCATATACCGATGACTCACATTGAACCCATTGTATACTGCCCACGAACATGAGCCATGTCTTACTTCGCAGAACACGCACGATGACTCACTCAGCAGCTCTCGATGGTCGCAGAAACAGAACGAGCATTGCCACTTGCCCGTGACGCCCGCCCAATCCCTCTCCTTGTCCAAGTCCATTCCCTCTGAGATGACGCTCTGCGTCCACGGCATGCTCATCGGAAACAGGTTGAACTCCGCGGACTCGGTCTCCTCCGTCGCGGGCACAATGTGCATCGACATCACATGGTGGATCGCCCGGACATGGTACCAGTTGACGCGCCCGCTCCCGTCCATCATGAACGGCCCAAAGTCGTTGTCGTACTTGTAGTTCCGCATCGCGTACACAAACGCGCGGCTCTCCGTACGTTTCACGGCCTGGAAGTCGCTGCGACTCAAGCCGTAGTACGTGTGCAGCCGCTCGCGCAGCTGGCGTTCGTCCGGGGACTGCTCCCAGTCCGGCTGCTCGAGGAATTGGCTCGAGCGGAGCATGGCGGCGACCCAGACGTGGTTGAGGGAGAGCTCGATGACGTCCGTGTGGGTGACGGGCACACAGTTGCAGACCATGTCGATCAGTGTCTGGAGGACGGTGCAGCGCTCTTCGGGACGGCAGGCGGAGATGTTGGTAAGAATGGTGCGCGCGCGGATAATGCGCTGCAGCGTGGTCTTCCAGGCAATGGGCTGGAGAGGGCGCCCCAGCGAGGTGTGGCATCGCCGGAGGTCATCAAAAGGCTGCTGCAGGTAGAGTTCGCGCCACAAATGCTGATCATCCTCCGAGGGGTAGATGAGGTGGTAGTAGGCAGACCGGGTCTGAGAGAGCGTGGCAACATCGATGGGGTCTAGCAGTACAATAATCTGCTCGAACACCTCGAGTGGCAGGTTGTCGATGCCTGCCATGTTCGACAAGATCAGAGGTCAAACTCTATAGCAGCCCGAGATTACAGACTCCTCGAGAGTTGGAGGGTTCTTTCGGGATTGAATTAATGCGCTGGCCGTTTATATAAGGGGAGACGTACTCACCGTTGAAGCCACCCTCTCAAAGCGCTGTCCCACACGACGACAAGAATATGGTGGCGGTCAGAGAGCGTAGCCTGAGGGTGTGGGACGCACACCTCGGGAGCCGGGAAGCGATGTGGCGGACCTCGATGACGAGAGCGCATCGGCGGCCCGGCGATCTCTCCTCTAGATCTAATAGGCGCCTGTGGTATCGTGGCGTCTAGCCGCGTCTTCGATGCCAAGCTGCTTTCGGCTGTGGCTTGAACAGACTCTCAACCATTCTCTGCTCTTGGACAGACCTCTCCCACATCCGGCCGCCCACCTGCTGCCGCTAACAAGAAAATTACTGGGGCACGTAGGCTGTTCAACCATCTCTGAGTCATGAACAAACAAGCACCGAAGGCGCGACCTGCACCAGCCAAAGTACCCGGCATATACAAAGTCGACTCAGTCCGCGTACGTGAAAAGTTCCCTAGATATCATTTACATGCTAATCAGTGCGTGCCCAGGATGTAGCGGAGTCACTGAATTTACCAAACCTACCAGATGCTGTGGCCTCCGCGCTTGCGAGCGACGTCGAGTATCGAATACAACAGGTAGTCGAGGTGCGTGTGCAGTAGCCCTCCTCCGCGACGCGTCATTAAGCCAACCACAGGAAGCCGCGCGATTTATGCGACACGCGAAGCGCACCACCCTCACGACAGCCGACATTGATCAAGCTCTACGCGTCCTAAACATCGAGCCTCTCTACGGCCACTTCCCGCACAACCCTCCAGCGTTCCGCCGGGCCCTCCCTTTTCCCCAAATGCAGACCGCGGGCTCGGTGTACTTTGTCGAAGACGAAGAGATCGAGTTTGACCGCGTCATACGCGAAGAGAAGATCTCCATGCCCAAAGGCGTCAGCTGGACAGCGCACTGGCTCGCAGTGGAGGGCGTCCAGCCCCTCATCCCTGAGAACCCGCCTGCCGCCCCTAGAGAGATTGACCCTGACAGCGCAGCAGCGAAGACCGGTACAGCGAATGGTGTCTCCGGGTCAGTGTTTCCTCTCACACCACCATCCTCCGACCGCCCCTCGCCAATCCAGTCGAGCAAGCAGACACAGCAACAAAATATCCTCGTCAAGCAGACACTTTCGCGAGAGTTGCAGTTGTACTACACGCGTCTCACCTCGTCGCTGCTTCCCCCCACCTCCGATCCTGCAAAGCGAACTGCCGCACTTGCAAGTCTGCGGCACGACGCGGGTTTGTCGCCACTCTTGTCGTATCTCGTGCATTGGGTCGGAGAGGGTGTGGTCAATACACTTAGGGGTGGCTCGCAGACGGAAACGGATGGGAAGTTGTTGGAGGTCTACCTGGACGTCATCGCCGCGCTTCTAGACAACCAGACACTTGGTGTGGAACCATATGTGGGTCATCGCCTCGTCTGGTATCTCGTATTCACCACTCATGCGACACATTGTTCCCTAGCTCCATCAAATACTGCCCTCCGTTTTCTCCATCCTGCTATACTCTTCCCTACCACCATCCAACGCCATCCACCTCCGCACCACAGCAGCCCAGATCCTTGCTCACCTCCTCACTCACTATTCCATGACATACCCCGGCCTCCCGACCAAAATTGTGAAGACATTGATAGTAGGCCTCATTGATAACAAGAAATCGCGAGCGACGCACGAGGGCGCTATCCGCGGGCTAATGGCCATCGGGAAGGAGGCCCTACGGCAAGGGCTCGTGAACCGCAGTGGCGCCAGAACTGTGGGCGAGAAGTGTATGCCCGGCGAGTCGAGTCAGCTCGTCGAGCTCGTCATGGTGAGCAACGTCTTGCATCGGCCTTGCAACTATGTTCTCAGACTGCACACCACTCAATCCGTAGGACGGGTTGAAGTTGATCCACCCACCGTCTGCCCATCCCGTCCCCCTCGACCCGAATTCGAGCGCGGACAGCGAGCTCATTGAGAAGCTCCACGCGACACTAGGCGACTTCTTCGCGGAGCGCGTCGTGTCCGATGCCGAGTGGGCGCGGGGCATTCTTTCGGACGAGGCTTCCGTTCTGTAGCCGTAGCTGTTGTTGCTCTGCTTTCGCGTACGTACTTTGCTGACTGTATTGTTACATCTTGCTTTCGGGACAATGTGTACTTGCTTTGTTACTTCTTCTCTCTTCTTCCGTCAACTAGGTTGAGGTATGTCTCACACATTTCCCGAGTACGGTCTCTCCCTTTTTCTGCGTTCTTTCTGATGCAGTAGACACTTGCGTTGGCTTGTGATACGCAAATGTCTTCGTGAGATACTATGTCTCAGTCAGCAACAGCTAGGTCAGTATGATATGTTACCACCATTTGTTGCTCCTGACGGCACTCTTATTCTCCAGGTCACACAATGCGCGTAGCGTTCAGTCTCACCTCGAGGCGTCTGCGAGCGATGACGCTCACCACACATTGAGATCGCATTCGATTCGCTTTCTCAAAATTGGGGTGAAGGAGACGGTGTCCATGCAGGATCGCGCGAGTGCTGCCGCGTTATATACATACTCTGTTGTGCGCACACTTCTGATTCATGTGATACGGCCGAGGCAAAAGAAAAACATCCGGAGGTGCGTCTCTTGGCTATCACCTCCGGCCCCTAGGCAGAAGCCGGGATATCGCAAGTCGGTATGTCCTCACCTTCATCGTAGGCGATGGTTCTGAGCCTACCTGTCTTATACCACGCAGCCATATCAGGTGGGAGGGTCGGGAGCTCATAGAAAAAGCACAGCAGGTTCTCAGATAAAATATACAAGTCCAATTCTCCCTCCAGATATGTGCATCTCGTCCCCACACTAGCGCTCTTGTCCCGAGTGTCTGTCCGCAAGCCGCACGAATCGATGATTTACCTTCGTTGGCCTTGATAAGTTCGTGCGTAACATTCGCTTTTGACCCCTGACAGCTTAATATGCCGCAGCAGCCATGTCTGATTTGTGACAAGTGGAGCGCCTGTCAGAGAAGGTACGTCAAAGGCTGTCGAGTCTATACGCTGATAGGTTAGCCTAATCTTATGACATTTGCAAGTGTCGCTTTGCCCAATCCATGTTTCCACAAGAACTTCGTCGTCCCGACCATCGCTGAGGGCTGGCTTGACTACTCCATCCAGATGTGGGACGCTCCTATGGATTCAGAGCGTCCATCAGGTCGCTTGGCTCAGAGAGGACGCGTGAATACCAGATCAGCACCCTTCATCGCAGCGGCTAGTTGGGACTTCTAGGGCAATTGACGTTATCGTCAAATTCTCAACCACGTATGGCGGAAACAGTACGTCGGTATATCCACATCGAGGTCTCGGGATGATGTGATATGTCATTACATAGTCCAGGACCTCGACGTCGCGTGTCGGTTTCTACAGGCTCATCGGTCCGAGCGAACCTTGACTACGATTGAGACGTCAAGGCGCGCCTCCCCTCTACCCACTTGGATCCGGGCAGCCCCACAGCACGGCGGTACCAATCTTTAACGATGCCTTGCGGGCAGTGCCTCCCCACGCTTCCAACCGTGGCGCCCAGGTTGACATGGGTCTTATCTTCCCAAGGCACCTACATTTTCCCCATTGGTCACTCTGGGGGTTCTTCCTTCATGCCACGTTCTCCGTGGCTCTTCTACGGCAAGCTTCGGTTTGGCTGCGAAGTAACGTCATAGATGCTATTCAGGTGGGACTTCAGGGGAGGCTTCCTGCCGGACGTATATCGCAACCCCACTGCTTGGGCCGTCTGATCTTCTAGAGTCGTTGACCGTCCTCAGCAATGGCGAAAGTATCACCCCTTGACTCAGGGAAATCCTTTGGAGGCATCCCCCTCAGTCAGCTCTTCCCCGAGTCTAAACTGGGATGGCGCGGGTGAGTGAACCATCATCGCCAGGCGGCTAAACGGAGATGTGATCATTGTACACTCAGTTACGTTGAATGGGAGGATCATCCTGAACGGAAGAGAACTGCGTCCGAGATCCTCAAGACGAAGAAGTTTACCCCCATCCCAGGTGCGCATCACCGCTGTTAGTGAGCTAAGCACCGCACAAAATATATATCATGCAGAGTTCCAGTTTGTTCCGCTTCCACAGACCAATCCTGTACTCGTTGGACACCGCTGGAAGGAATACCATGAGGCGCTAGGGCTGAAGAGCATCGTCGACTTCAGCTGGGCGACGGTCTTGAAAGAGAAGCCTGGTATGATCCACCTTCTGGACTTCCCTTACAACGGCGAGACGCCGCGTTCCGAGCTCATCAAGGCCAAGATCACCGATAACAAGTGGCATTTGTATGTGTTATCTGTGCACGCCCGAGAGTCCCTCCTTACTGGCGGATGCCTAGTGTGCGCAACCATGGTGGCGTACCAGACATCGATGAAGGCGCATACGAGCTGGAGATCGGAGGGCTCGTCAACAAGCCGGTCAAGATATCTTTGAAGGAATTGAAAGATCCTTCAAAATTTCCGTGCGTTCAATTGTTCGCCCTGTCTTGCTACACCTCATGCTTAGCCACTCTATAGTCAGGCAGAGGTAACAGTCACCATTCAATGTAGCGGAACGCGTCGTATCGAGCAGATCCAACTATATCCTGGGGACGGTGATGAGTTAATCAACGCTGTAAGTAGCCTCACTCAACCCCGTATGTGGCTTGATACTCATGCTACCTACAAGCCTTGGGGAGAGGGTGCAATGTGAGCTACAGGTGTTCTCTTGTCTTCGCGTGCTAACAGCAGACCAGTGGCACTGCGGTGTACCGCGGCGTCCCACTCAAGAAGGTCCTGAAAATCGCCTGCGGTGGTATCCTTCCCGAGGCCAAGCATCTCGAGTTCATCGGCGCGGACACCTACTTCAAGTACGATTGATTCTTGTTGTTCCCTTATGACGCGTTTCTGACCTCTTCACATAGGAAGGGTAATGTTTATAACTACGCCGTCTCCGTCCCATGGCGCAAGGTCAGGCAGAACGAAGAAGTCCTGCTCGCCTGGGAGATGAATGGCAAGCCGTTGCCTAAGATTCATGGTTTTCCATTGCGTGCCGTTGTCACCGGGTACATCGGCGCGCGGAGCGCTAAGTGGTTGTACAAGATCAATGCACTCGCGGAACCGAGTTTGGGTCCTGTCCAGGCTGCGGAGTACCTCTACTACAATCAGCAGGTGCAGTCTTCAGGTTTATCGTATGATCCATACTCGCTAAACTCGGACGAACGCCGGGGAAAAGCTCGGGAAGCAGAATGTGAAGATGTCCAACGGTTTCTCGATACAAGGCATGCCCGTCTCGTGAGTCACCGCCATGGGATCTTAGACACATTCCGCTGAAACTAGCGAATGTAGGAGCGCCATCATCTTCCCCCTTGACAAACAGGTCGTAATACATGAGGGCGAGATCGAGGTCAAGGGCTGGTCCTATAGTGGCGATGGCAACTGGGTCCAACGAGTCGAGGTCTCTCCTGACGGGTATGTTTGAGTCAAGGATGATGAAATGAATGAACCCATCCATCATGCATCGACAGCGGTCATGTGTGGTATGCGTGTGCCGAAGAGGACATGACGGAGAAGGTGACTTGTACTTTCAGAACTAGCCATCGTCAGTGCTCACCGCTCAACCTAGCACTACCACGCTTGGAGGCTCTGGTCGATCAGAGTCCCCGTGAACGCCCAAGGCTGGCTCGAGTTCTGCGTCCGTACCTGGGATAGCAACAACAACACTGAGCCGACTTTCGTGCGCTCCGCTTGGAAGTACGTACTTTGCAAAATTTTCAATCCTCAACAGACCATCTGATGCTGTCCCTGTCTTACCACATAGCTGGGATCTGCATGTCACGTCGTCTTGCCACCGTGTCAAGATTTATAGCGTCAACAAGAGCAAGCCGGAGACTGCGAAGCGCCTTGCCGAGATAGAGGCGCACGGCGAGACTTTCGAGCCTCTCACCCGTCCGCTGGAGTGGGAGCTCGAGGACACACAGGAATACCTTCAGCAGATGAGGAAGCATCCTCGCGAGCCTCTGGATTGAAACTGCCGTGTACGCCTTCGCCCATTTCACGCAGGAAGATGACTCGTAACGATCATCATTTCATGTAACATTGCAGTGCCATCGATACTTTTCTTCGCTCATCAGTAGCAACAGCGTGCTATATATGTAGGACGAATTGGAAACAACTGTGCATCTTGTACTTCCTTCTGGTCTCCAGATCCTAGGCGAACCTGATATGCTTGAGATTAAAACTAGTCCAAAATGCGGTAATATGTACGAGATGATCGAGAGCAAGAGCGACGAGATCAAAGTCATCGATGAGAGCAAACCGGCCGAGAGAGCATATGTAAACGTAAGTAATCATCATCATCTAAGAAGAGGCGGGCGCAGCGGCGGCGGCGGCGGCGGCGTGCTCGTCCGCGAGGCGCATGACCTCCATGAGGAACGTCTGTTGCTCGGGAGAGAGCGACGTGGTCGCGATTTGGTACCCACTGCCGTTCTTCATCTGGAACGCTGTACAAAGAGTCAGAGCCGCACCACTGTCCTTAAACCTGCACGACTTACACGTCAGTGCCTGCTTGAAGGTGATGTAAGGGTCGACGTTGTCCAGAGGGCTGATGTAGCCGAGCTCCTCCTCGATATCTTCCTCCTCTTCGTCATCCGAGATCTCCTCGCCATTGGCTTGCCTCGCGTTCTTCTCCTGGAGGCGTTGACTCTCGTTTGCGAGCAGCTCGACATAGGCGGAGTCTTCATCCCAGACGTCGTCTACAGGATGAACGTAAGCTGTTCGAAACGACAACGCACTGTGATATTTGGTACGCACCGTCCTCGTCATTCATATTGAGGAACTTAGAGTCGTCCTCATCGTCATCATCTTCGTTATCGTCCGAATACTGCTCTTCGAGGTCCTTGCGGGCTGGGAACGCCACCAAATATCAGCCAACGGCTTCAAGTCCCCCTCCCTAACCCGAGACTTACCCTGAACAACCTTGGGGTACTCCTGGAACAGCTTGAGCGCGCCCGACACAATACCCGGGAAACCTTCCTGCACACTCTGCGGGATGCTCGCAGGGTCCACCTCCATGAGCGCACATAGCGCGACGATGCTCAGCCTCTTGTCGTGCACGCGCGGCAAGCGCCCCTCGACATTGATCGCCGCGAACCACTGGTCGAAGAAGCCACGCGCGACCCCGGGCCCGGCCTGGTCGAGGATGTGCAGCGCCGCGGCAGGGTTGTAGAGCACGGCGTTGATGACTACGTTGAGCGCCGCGAGCCGCAGCATGTTCGTCTCCGCTTTGGCGATGACGGGGAGCGCGGTTGCGATGATAGGCTGGAGCGCGTCGTCGATCGTGCCGCGGAGATTGAGGAGCATGGACTCGGCGAGCTTGCATCCGTTGACGGCGTCGTTCTCCCCGAGGTGCTCGCTCGAGATCGACGTCTGGTAGATGTCGAGGACCATCTGGCAGTAGTCGGGGCGCGTCTTGAAGACGTCGCCGCCAAATGAGACGAAGTTGTCAAGCGAGGGCAGCATCTCTGGACACGTCCGCGATGGTCAGCATGACTTGGCACTGAAGCTGACGAGAGAACGCACCGTCCAAGAAGTCCACAGCGTCGCTCTTGAACAGCTTGTACGTAAGCTCGAACACGGGCCACATGTTAGGCGAGATGCTCCTCGTCTTGAACGTCAACACGTCGACGAGGTCGTACATATTGTCGAACAGGTCGAGCAGCTTCGCGTCGAGCGTGAGCACCACGATCGGGATGATGATCTCCTGCACCTGCGCGAGGATCTCCGGGTTTGAGTCGACGGCGTTGACGACAGTCGCGATCGTCTTTGCGACGCCCATCGCGGCAAAGGTCTTGTCCTCGTTGGGATCGTTGTCCATGATTGAATCAAGGTCGATGGCACTGCTGTCGGTCTCATCCGCGCTCTTACTCTCCCGAGCAAGGCGGGCGTACGTCTCGCACTGTGAACCAGTTGATTTAGCCAAGAGGAGTGCACGAGGGAGCGATGCGCCTTACGAGGCGGGCCGTCAGCTCGGCAGCGACAGGGAGAAGCTCGGTCTGGTAGGTCTCAACCAAGCTCTCCATAGCGCCGTTAAGGATATCCAGGTCGGTCTCCTCGGAAAGCTTGAGAAGTGCTAATAATGCCGTGATTAGCATGGCACAAGACAAAATTGCCTGGCGCACGCACTCTGAATGACCTTCCCAACCTGAGGAGCAACCGCCTCCTTAACTACAGTGGATCAACGCCATCAGAATCATAAACCCCATATCCATACATAGCACGGCGCACGCACCAAACTGCGAATGGATGACCATCTCCGTCAACGTCAACGTCGCATGCACCCGCACGGGCAGCTCCCCATCGTCGATGAGACCCGCAACGGCCGTCAACGCCTGCTGCAGAGCCTCCTTGCTCGCGAACTTGAACCCGGACTTGACCACCGTGCCGAGGAACTCGCACGCGATCGCGCGCATGTACGGCTCAGGCGCAGCGAACTCGGAGAACACGTTCTGCAGGAGGAACTGCTCCACGCTGCCCTTGACCTCGGGGTGGCGCATCATGAACGGCCCGAGCGCGGAGGCCATGTTGAGGGCGCCGTAGCGCTGGGGGGCGGCGGGCTTACTGCTCGATCCAAACGATACTCTTAGCCAATGTGTGCCATGACGGGAATGTGGGAGATACGTACGCGTGGAGGACCTGTGAGATGAAACCGAGGGTGGGCACGAAGGTCATCTTGGTCCTGTTGCTCGCAAGGGAGAAGAGGAAAGTGGTAGCGGAAGAAACGGGGCTGTCGAATACCTCGTACTCGTCTATATACTTCCATTAACGACTACATCGTTCTTAGTGAACGTGATGAAGAGTGGACATACCGACACTGGTGCGAACGAACTCGATAGGATCATTCTGCCACTGCTCCTGCTTGGCAGCAGTGAATGAAAGTTGAGGATAAACGTAGTTCGAGATGAGGTCCTGGAAGTGAGGCTTGAGAAGGCCCCAGGTGGACTTTGGCTTGACACTATCGCAGCAAAGTCAGTCACCAGCCGTAAGGTCAAACGATGCAAAACAGAGGTACCACTCCGTGAAGAACGTGAAGATCCTGTATTGGCACTTCTTCGATAGCCACGCCGTGCCGGACACGTACAACTGAATCTGCTCCAGATAGATCTTGAAGATCTCAGGCGCGAATGCCGTCACGAAATGCTGCGCGAAGTCGCCATAGTCCTTCTGCAGGCTGCTCGGCAGCTGAGACGGGTTCCCGAAGCGGTGGAAGAGCCTGCCCAGGATCTTGTACGCCCACTTCTTCGCCTTCCACCACTCGGAGCGCTCCCGCTCGTCCTCGTCCTCGGGCACGGCGTCCTTGGGGATCTGGAGCTGCACGACCTGGAAAAGGAGGCGGCCCCAGGGGACGAGGGATTCGGAGCTCTGCTGGTGCTTGCTGAGGAAGAGAATGATGGAGGTCGAGTACGTCTTGAGGATGAGGTGGAGGAGCGTAGGCACTTCCTGGTTCGTGCCCGCCGGAGGATTTTGGAGGGCTTGGGAGGCGATGGTGACGAGGGTGGGGAAGAACTCCTCGACGAGCTTGGGCAGGATGTCGTTGTTCTGGCGGAACCTGCGAACGCTCCGTCCAATACTGCACCGGGCCACACTCCGAAGGGTACTCACCGGAATGCCCGGACCATCTCGAGTGCAGCCACACACCCCGCGTGCACATCCCGAATGTTGCCGCTAGCAAGCAGCTTCTTGACCTCCTCCGCAAGGTTCGGCCACTGCTCCGGGAAGTCGCGGGCCACGACGTTCTTCAGCGCACCAGCGAGCTGCACAGTGATTGCGCGAGATGGAGATGTGGCGATGAGCGGGAGAACGGAAGCCTTGAGATTGTTGCGATCTGAGGGCGGGATCGGGACCTGGTCCGGACGCGCGTTGGTGTCGACAAAGTAGGACGAGTACACGCGATTTTTGAGGTAGACTGCCGCGGCCTGGCGCGTCGCGCTGTACAAGGGCTCGGTAAGACACACTCAGGAGGACAGACGCGTCGGGCACGTACAGATCTACGTTATCATTCCCCACGATCTGAAGGGTACTCGAGATCATCCCCTCCTGTCCGCCCAGCTGTGCACACGTTGATCGTCGTCAGTCTCTATTCGGTTGTGGTCAAAATAGGTGGCTCAATGCACCTTGCGGATCTGGAGCTCCGCCATCTTCTGGACATTTGGGTCGGGGCTGAAGGTGGAGGCAAAGAGATTTGAGAGCGTCTGCAGGTCCATCTGTGCAAGTATGATCTCTAAACACGTCCAGGTGGCAAATGAGAGGCCAGAGCCGACCTTGTAATCGAATCGTGAGGGAGAGGGTATATATACAGAGGCGGGGGCGGAAGCTGGTTCCAAAATTTTTGGAGGTGGACGGGTGTGGCAAGACGCGTGTTTTGGCAGCTGCTCAATCGCGTTTCTTTATCGCGTCCAGGCGCCCGTCTCCAATCAATCGCCCCCAAAGCACTTCTCTTGCCCCGCATTCAAAGCTATCAGGCAACGTGCTCGACACTCGAGTACACGGACTAAGCGTGTTCATAATATAGACGTCAATGCGCGACGGCACGTTCTACAAAGAGGTAATTGTACAGCCTTCCAATGTGGCATATCAGACCTAGGCCTATTCTAAGCGTGACCGTACTGCGCGGGACCGGAGGCTTCTACTCATCGTACATGTAAGCGCAATAATACGTAACAGGGGCTCTGACAGAGCAACATGGCAAGCACAGTCAATCGCGATTAACGGAGCTTACGGAACGACTGTCCTGCTCACCCGAGTGCGACGACCGACGCATTGAGTAGTTCACGACTCTGCATGCTGAACAAATGGGCATCACAGGGCACATAGCAGCGTACGAGGAACGTACGCGTCCCAGAAGACGGTGGTTCGTGAACTTATGCTCTTCTCAACGCGTCACTTGGTTTCCGCCGCGCGACCATGACGTACAAACAGGCACAGATAACGATTTTCCGGGTCAGATACATTTTTACCTACCACATACTCGTACACTAGCCTGTGCCATTGCTATCGCTGAGGGTAGAGCGGAATTTAATGGGGAGAGGGTCATACCTCCAGAATTGAAGGTGAGATCTGCAGACGACACAATATTGACCACTGCAGCATGTGGATCATCTCTGGGGATGATCCTGCGCTCCCTCGCGCAGCTGCATGTTGCACCCAGAGGTCGGGACGCTTGTGTTGCAAAAGACGATGCGACCTTGGTGGTTTCATATTCATGCACACTGGTTGACGCACACAGTCCGATTTACCTTGAATATCGAAAGCATCGTGTCACTCATAACTAGAGGCGTGAAGTGAGAGCACTCCGGAGGATGACTGCCGCGCGTGCGTATCTACAGATCGTTTCCCTGTTCGAACTGAACACGTTGGGATTCGTGATGGTAGTTTGCTTGCGATGTACTACAAACCGCAGCCTTGCGCACCCTAATTGTTTCATATGAATGTCTTGAAGCGAGGGCGCAGTTGCGAATCATTGTTGCGCATGGCTCCCTTGTGCGATTGTGCATGACGTCCGTCTGGACACTGCAGCGCGTTCGAGGTACTCTGGATATTGGCAGAGGCTCGTACAGAGAGCGACAGGAGACACAAGCGGCACCGGTGACATGAGCCCTGAAACACCTCTTCTTCAGGCAGAAGCTCTCAGGTCACTGGCTACGCGACGTATGGGTTCCTCTGCAATCACAAAACGCGAATTGATCGTACACCTAGTGTCTTCCAGATGTCTACCATGCATATGTCAGACGGACGCGAAGGTCTGAAAACTCTCTGATGAAGAACGTACGAGATGATTCCGGCCGTAGCTCGAGGTTCGACGCGTATGGGGCGGCCGTCTTCGTCCAAGGGCGGGTTGATGTCAAACACTTGTAGCACGCACGCAACGAATATGAACAGTGCTTCGTCTGCAAAGTATCGTTCCGTACATATCCTGCCGACAACTCAACAGCCTCTTTCGGACGTGGGGTGAAGGGTCGCTCACCGTCTCCCAAACCCAAAGGCGACTCCGCTCGGGTCGGTTACGTCAGAATCGAGCTTGCCGTCGTTCAAGAAGCGCTCCAGTAGGAACCTGTCTGGTTCTGGGTAGTTCTCGGGATCGTGCACGATTGACCTTGAGGTCATTGCATGATACTCACCGAACGATGCACAAAAAATAAACCGACCACGAATTGACCAATATGGTCCTGTTGGCAGGGATGAAGTACCCTTCGTACTCATCAGCCGCGACGCTGCATCGCGCGATGCCCAAGGGTAGGGCGCTATGCCAGCTCAGGAGCTCCTTAGCGATTGCAATCACGCATGGGAGCGCGTCGCGGTCTGCAAAGGTCGGTAGTCTATTGGGGCCGACGACGCTGTCCAGCTCTGCCCGCGCTTTCCTATGGACTTCTGGGTGAAGGCAGAGCGCCGGGAAGAGGCTTCCCAGTGGAGCCTATCGCTGTTGTCGCTATGTGAGACGTCCAATGCAGAGAAGGGAGCGAGCCTACTGACCGTGTCAAGATCAGCTGCGGGATCATGTCGGTTTCGTTTTCGAGACTCGAATGAGAGCACAACTTATTCCTCACCTGCATTAACCATTGCGACAGCACTCATGGCCATGCCCTCTTCCTCCCCTGCATTGGGGGGGATCCAGGCGGGAGATTTTCTCTATCATGGCGCTTGCTATCGAGCCCGTACACGTTCCATTAGCCTGTCCCAAGACGTTACGCACATGTCCGCATAGCTATGAATCACCAAACTCACCACTGCCTGCCTTGCCTGCGTCCAAGGTAGCTCCCGCAGCGTGTGAGCGTACTTGTTATCCTCGGCCAGCCGGCGTAAGAAGCTCGTTCCCGGTAGCCACATCGGAATGGCGGCTAGGAACGGGAAGTACTCCAGCATAGTCGCGCCTTCCACGAGCACGTCCACGTTCCTCAGGGCTCTCTCAAAGATCTCCATCCTTGCGTCCTCCTACTCGGCAATGTCCAGCCCGTGCGCCTCCTTACATATGGAGACCCCGAGCGCGCTGTAGATCCCCCCAGATCCAAACCAGCCAGCAATCGCGCGATGATGACTCAGTGATGCCGATGGAGGAGCGAATGAACAGAGTTGCCTCACTAGCGAAGGTGCTCCTCGAGCTTTCCTGGCGTCGTGAGGAGTCGCGACAACAGCCGGCGTGCGCCCTCCTCTAGCACGGCACGATAGGTGGGAATCACTCCTGGGTGGAAGTGCTGCCAGAACACCCACCTGTGCCGCCGCCACTGCTGGCCGTAGGACATCCATACGAAGTTCCACTCCCAACCCACCCTGAAGATGGTTCAAGACCGGAGATTTTGAGGATGCCAGTGGAGGCTTACAATTTGACTATCGTCGACGTTGGGCGCGAGGGATTGACCGCCGATCGTTTTTCCAGCAGGTCAAAAGCGATTTTGGGGTTGTTGATGAGAAGAATAGAGCGGCCTAAAACCTGTAAGTGCACCAGCTTTCCTGCATGTCTTGTGTCAGCATCACGGGCCCTGGTCGCAAGCTCTTTGTAGACAACACACCGTATTTCTGGCTGATTTTCCTGTATCCAAGCCACGGCGAACGTTTGGGAAGGTCGAACAAGTTCCCAAGAACCGCTATACCCGGCGGCCTTGAGAACGTGCGGCGAACTCTGATGACTTCCTATAAAAATGTACGACAATGAACACTAGTGCTACTACAGGTATCACAATTGTCGGGGTGAGGAGAGAGGGTGCCATGCCGGGTTGAGATTGTATGGGAAGCAGCACACGATGAAACCGGGCTGTCGCCTTAAATGCCCTGACTGCGAGAGGCGCCGTGTGAAGTTTCTACACCCGTATCCGAGCCATGGATCGCTTACATCGCAGCAGGATAGGGACGGACAGTGTTAGGACCACTGACACGATGCATTGCAGCTGTGGAGGAGAGCCAGATATAAGCGGAGCTCGCAGAACGCTATCGTGCTCAGACGTCATAGTGCCCTTCTGAACGAGTCATGCAGCTCCCTTGACGCAAAGAATACGTAGGCAGAGGTTCCATGCTCCTAACACCGGAGGTGTAGTTGTCAACAATGAGTGGTACCAACCAATCTTCTCGCTTGAGTCGAAGGCAAAGGCGAATCAATGTCCGAGATAACGGATAGCCATCGCTCTCCTATCACATGATTGCCTAAGATCGTCTCATTCATGACCTGTTGCATCAGATCTCCAAAATGGAAGTACCTCCTACTGTAATCCCCACAAACATACTTGAGTATCTGGACGCAGCGTGACTCAAAATGACACTCAACCTCATGTGACCTATACACCTGATGTCAACTCGAAGACAGCAAATACGTCCACAGTCCGAATAGGACGTTCAGCAGAAACCCGACCACGATGCCCATCTGCATCTTCCGTCTGTTCGTGTCCGAGTAGAAGTCAGCATATATCACACACGTCTGAATAATCTGTCACGCATGCGAGAAATCCCGCCACAGGAGACAACGTCAGAGACGGGGGATCTAACTTACGAGAACAAGGGCTCTTCCATCACGTCGTGCTCGCTCCCATCGTCCCAGAACACCGCCGGCTTGTGTCCGCGGAAGAAGAACAAGGGTAGGAGCGGAAAGAAGAACCCGAATAGGATCCCGTTGTGCAGCGACGACACGGCCGTCTGCGAGTTGGACAAGTCGCTATTCGGCCCGTCGAGCGAATCTATCCACTGTTCTTCTAGGACCCGTGCGTGCTCATCGACTATCTCACGTCGAGAGTAGCGACGATCCGGTGGTGTGAATGATTAGACAGCTGTTAGCAACTGACGGAAGATTGTCTAGGAAAGAGACTAGTGTACGTACAGTCTTCTTGGTCTTCGAACTCTTGGTCCAAGTAGTCCCCCGCGGAATGCGCATGGAACTGCAATCGTATATTCGCAATATCCCGCTCGCTGAACCCCGCCGCGGCGAGCCTATCGAAACCCCGCAAAGGCTTCAGCTGCGCAGTCTGTGGGAGTTGTGATAGTGCACCAGCGCATTCGTACGTTCATTCGTTAGCTTCTATCTGCCACGAATTCCGGCAGGCAGGCAGATAGATGCATCAGAAATACCCACCTGGATTCTCCCTTCTTCCTCCTCGCCTTCCTTCAACTGCGGCCCTACAGAACAGTGCAACCACGTCGTGCCCTGCGCGTTCTCCTCGGCCGCGCGTATCGCCTCATCGTCACCGTCGTCCGTACCTCCCACTCCCGATGGCGTCGCACCAGCATTCCTCCGGCGTTGCTGCCACATGGGCGACGCTATTCGGGCATACAGTTGCGCACCGTCTGCGAGCAAGTGTCCCTGGTGAATAAGCCTGAGGCGTCTGTCCTTGAGTTCTGGGCGGGCGGTGCGGATCTACGAGGCAATCCCGCAATACAGTTGGGACTCAGAGCGAATGCTAGGTGTCAATATATGGGGCTTACGTTGGCCTTGACGTCCTTCACTGTGTCTTTCTGCACCACCTGGACCGTCAGGTCCGGAATGCCCTCCGTGAAGCGGATGGTGAGATCCTTCGACGGTGAGGTCTCGAGTTCGCTGGGCTGCCCTGGGTCGGTGGCACGCTGCTTGCCTTTGGCTTTGTCGCTCAGCGCCGTAGACATGCTGTAAATGGGGTATAGTGACCGAAGCGTAGGGTAAGAATGAGGCTGGTAGCGAGGTGCTTGTGTCGTCGGAAGAGTGATGAGTACCGCTAGTTAGTTACACTCACCGTCGTATCCCCGACGCCCGCGGCGACCGACGCTAGAGAGCACGGTGCACGTGACCATCGCGACGCGTATCACGGCCGAGGCTGCTACTGCGTTTCCCCAAAATATATCTTGCCCAGGGGGTTAGACTCAAGGACGAGGGGAGAATCACATATAACCTAGGCTGGCTCTGATATCCCAATTCCAATATATGGGGATGTGTGTAGATGGAGACGCCTGCCTAATACCACACTGGCACAGGTGGTTTGCATATCGGTAGGCCCCTCCGAAAGTATCATGCTCAGGTTGGTTGAGAGCTGAAATCGAGACCCCACAAACGCAGTGAGTGGACACATCTTAGACCTCGAGTTGAGCGTAAGGCATCGCAAACGAACATTCAGCAAAACAACATCCACGAAAACACAGATCCAACCAGTAACAATACACATCAGCCCCTGGGCACCCACGGCGTCGGACTCTCCTCGACTCTGCCCGCCATTGCCATCTGTTGCCCGATCCCAATCGTGTCCTGCAACAAGTCTTCCCCAAGCATCCTCAGCCCCCCACCGCTCATCGCCATCTGGGCCTGCTGCTGCGCGAGCCTCTGCGCCGGGGGCACCCCAAACACCGTCTCCTCCTCCCCGCCCAGCGCGTCGAGCCCATCGTCGTACGAGTCGTCGTCGAACTCGTCTCCATCGTCCTGCGCCGTGACAATAAACGGTGGGGCGGTGCCGTCCGTGGCCTCGTCGTCGCCGTCCAGGGAGGAGTCGAACGAGTCTTCAGAGTCGAAAGATTGCTCCTGATTGGCGAAGAGGAAGTCCGCAGGGGCGTTCGCGGTGTTCTGGTCTTCGTAGTCGAGCGAGTCGAGCGAGTCGTCGCCATCTCCCGGGCCTCCGCGCCCGATCACCTCGTCGTCGTAGAAGTCGTACTGGGGAGGCTGGGGCGTGTGGATGGACGGTTCCGGATCCGGGGCTGGTGGCTGGAGTGTGCGGGCAGACGAGGCGGATGCAGCGCTGCGCGAAGACGTCGCGGTGAACACGGACGAAGCAGAAGAGCCGGTCGCAGAGGAAGCGGAGGCGGAAGAGATGCTGCTGAATACGGGCGCACGCGCAGGTTGTGCAACAGGAGCGGGGGCGAGCACAGCCTTCTGGGAGCCGTACCCCGGCACGTTGAGCCCAACTCTGCGCATGATACTGTCCAGACTCGCATCCACGACGCTAGCGCTCGTCTCTGAAGCAACAGGCGGGGCGTACGACGGTCGCCCATACCGAGTCATAGACGGGGGCGTGGGCATCGAGCTCATGCTGCTCTCGGTGCCGTACCCCGTCCCAGCAGGGCCCTTCCCCTTTGCTACGGCCCCCGCAGGCCCAAAGACCCCGCGTCTTTCGACATCTACGAGATCCTTCATGATCCGCGCCGCAGCCTCCTGCTTAGGGGTCCTTCCAAGCTTGGGCAAGCGTGCGTAGTTCGTCATTACGGGAGGCGACATCCCGAAGTTCTCGTCGAATGAATCGTCCTCTCCAGGCGGGGGCGTCTTCGTCCCAGGTCCAGTCCCTGACCTCGCACCTGCCCTTGCCGTAAAAGCGGCCGACGGCATGTAGGCAGAGAGTTTGATAGAAGACGAAGGAGGGGGTACGAACTTGCGCGCGCTCCGTTGGGGACTAGCCACAGAGGGATCCTTGAGGTCGACGACACCCTTCCAATCTGACGGCTTGGTGTCAGGCGGGAGGTATGGATTGAGCGTTTTGGCAACCGGGGTCTTTGGCTTGAACTTTAGCGGAGACGTGGTACGACTCGTGGTGCCCGTGGCAGACGTGAGGTTGGAAGAGTTCGCATTACGGTGCAGGACCTTCTGGAGGAGGGGCTGCGGGCCCGGGCCCTCGCGCGCCTTGCCTTTGTCGCCGGTATGGAGTGCCGTGTGGTCGTCGAGAGTGCTGTCCCTGCCAGTCGCACGCTGTGTTACGTCCTGGGAGTCGTCAAAAGCTTCCGAGTGGTTGAGCGCTGAAGTCGAAGGGACAGCGACAGAGCGATCGTCGGCCAAACTCTGAATGTCACGATTGAGCTGCCTCAAGGGTGACTCCAGTGACGCGCTCCACGAGGGCATTGGTTCCGAGGCCTCATTCGCGAAGCTATTGTCTGGGGCGTTTCGTGACCGCGAACGGTACGCGTCCGCGGGAGTGGAAGACACCGCGGCCTGTCCTGGAGCGAAGGACACCTCGGACGGTGTCCTGTCATACGTCCTGTCCGGGTGCGGGGTTTCGCCATCGGACTCGTCCGAGTGGGTGGTTGCAGATGACTCTGCAGGCGTCGATTCGGTCTCTACCTGACTGCTGTCTGCTGTCTGCTCATCTTCCGTCTGCTCCTGGCCGGCGCTGTAGTCCTCGTAGCTAGGTATACGAATCTGGGCAGCGGTTTCGTAGAAAGTAGTCCAGAACTGTGCGCGGTGATGAGCACAACCCAAAGAACATGAAGACAATGATCAGAAACACGGAATAGCCATGACAAGCGGGAACGTAAGTTTATGCGTCCGGGTGCCCACGCGGTCTGACAGCGAGGACCGGTATGTAGCCGGGAACGTTGGATCTGCAATATGTCAAGCATATGTGGCGCCGCGGTGTGCACTACGATTGTCGGTAAGAGATATGTGGTGTGGCAAACATTCGATGTCTTCAAAGCCAAAGCAAGAGCCCCGAGCTCTCATCACGAGGTGGAAGTGCCCGATAGATGGCGATACTTTGAGAAGGAGTGTAGGTAACGCAGAGTGCTCTGATCAGCTTTAGATCCCCCGGACGACGCGCGTGGCGAGCACGAAGACAAGCCTTCAGAAGAGCGCTTGGACGTACTGGTCGGCGGACTTATTCGGGAAAATCGGCAAAGCACACATTTCGTCGTGTAGGCCAGTCGATCCACTGCGGCTCCATACCGGCATGACGACGGTGTATCCACAATGTAAAACTGACGTTCTCAAGCAGCTGGGAGAGATAACGAAACTCGCGTACGACGCAGTCACAGCCACAGTCGTCCCTAAACTCTCTGGAGATGGCTGAGTGCAAGAGGGGAACCTCCCTACCCCCGAGTTGATGCCATGTCAGCGGGATCTGCAACGTGTGCAAAGAGAGGTTCGGTAGATGTACCGTGAAATGATCTCCAATTCGTTGAGATAGGAAGATCAAGTCCACGGAGCCCGCCCACCTGAGGCAGGGATTCCATCTCGCCGTTTGAACGATCTAACATGAATTTACAGGGCCTCTCTTTTCCCTCGCTGCAGACGTTGAGCATCTCGCTAGCATGGCTGCAACACAGTGATTGAGGAGTGTGGAGGAGTTCCCCGCTCGCACTCAGCAATAGCCCGGGAAGATCAGACGACCGCGATCACGACCGTGTGGTATGCGGGTTTTGTTTCCTATCCTGGTCACCTTGTCGGCCCTCGCGGTCGTGGTAGCGGTCAGACTGCGCGGATGCCCGGGCGCAAAAACCTGGGCGCTGGAATGCATGTTTTTGCGACAACCGAAGGTGAACGTACCTTGGCGGCCTCCCGCACCGGCTGGGTTCCAACTGCATATCGCTTCACCGCAGGTAGTATCCTGTTCGCCATCACGTGCTGTATCTTCGAAAAGTTTGCGTCTATATTCTGCAGCCTGCTGTCAGATGTTTGATATGAGGCAAACCGAAGGGCAAAGGGACCTGCAACTTGATCGTAATAAGCTGCTCGATCTGCTCAATTTGGTCATAAGGGGCGGCAGTTGTGTCCAAACCAGGGACCACAATGTCCGCTGGGTCTGCTGATGGTTCCCATCTTGGTGTCTTGGGTTCGATGGGCTTCAGTTCCGGGGCCATGAGCAGGAGGATGTGGATGAAGAGACGCGACAACGGGTGAGTGGCGCGACGCGACGCGACGGGCCCAGTGGCCCAAAGATTAGATTGTGGCTCTGCAGGGTATTGACCGGCCACTACGGCGATGTAACAAGCATTTAAACTCAGATTAGTGGCATTATGCAAGGGTATAGTAGTACCTCCAATTCGTCAGCAACTGCATGCACCTCGCCCTGAACGTCGACCATCACATCGTCTTGCTCAGTGTCCCACCACACCACTGCTTGTTCCTTTGAAGCTCAACATTCTTGCCCAAGATGCCGCGTGCAGAAGGTATGCATACATCCCGAGATCGTACGAGGCGTCATCTCATCTGCTATTCCTAGTCGGTACCCCGAAGTATCTGGCCAACAAAATGAAGGCTAAGGGCCTGCAGCGTTTGCGCTGGTACTGCCAAATCTGCCAGAAACAATGCAGAGACGAGAACGGCTTCAAGTGTCACACGCAGTCCGAGTCACACCTCCGGCAAATGCTCGTCGTCGGCGAGAGTGCCGGGAAGCACATCGCTGACTTCTCGTCCCAGTTCCAACACGACTTCGTTCAGCTTCTCTCCCGCCGTTTTGGCACGAAGCGCGTCAAGGCGAATACGGTCTATCAGGAGTTCATCCAGGACAAGAACCATCTCCATATGAACGCTACTCGCTGGGTAACCCTGACCGAGTTCGTGAAGCATCTTGGTCGGACCGGAGTTGCGCGGGTGGATGAGACGGAGAAGGGCTGGTTCATTGCATGGATAGACAACAGCCCCAAGGCACTTGCGAAGCAGGTGAGTGTTCGATGTACCTCGTGTTACCTCTTTCATCGTGCGCCAAGCGCTCCGATGCTCCGAGAGGTATGTCCGTGGAGGTTAGCCAGGTACGCCGGAAGTCGCAGGCATCTCATCGCTAGGTGGAAGCAATGTACGATGCACGTTCGCATGCCGTTGCCGCAGCTGGCAGCTGTGCGGACTATGTACCGAGCAGTGGCGGATGCATGCATGCAGCCTTATGTGACCCTGTCCGGCTCAATATCAAAAACGGCAGGAGCGTCCGGGCATCAAGATGCAGCGGGCAGAGTCGATCAGTTCACCGAAACCGAAAGGGCAGCGGCGTCTGTACAACGACCGTGCATCAGTCGGTTTGTAGTGGGACTACCGGACTGGCTAGTCACCGACTGTTCCTTATTCTGCTCCTGGCGAGGGACCTGTGTGGACTATCTTTGTTGCGTTGTACCTTCGGATCGAGTTGCCCTCGTTGCCTGGTATAGTGCACTAACCATATCTACTTTGCAGGAGGCCTCAATGAAGAAGGAACGGATGTCGGTTTCTGATGAGCAGCGTGAACGAATGCTCATTGAGGAGCAGATCGAGCGCGCAGCTGCTGAGGCGGAATCATCCGGATCCAAACAAGAACAGTCACCACCAGCGGAAGAGATTGGCTTGAAGCGCGATGAGACGACGGAGAAGGTCGTGTTATCCCTCGCTCCCAAACCTGGAGCATCCTCTTCGGGAATCAAGCTCAGCGCTCTCAAGCCTGCCGCGAACCCCCTCAAAGCTTCCAATCCCTTGAAGCGCCCCAATGTTTTCAAGCAGGCTGCTGCTACTTCCTCAAGTCTAGCGCCTGTTGATGCGGAGAAGATCAATGGCAAGAAGAGGGAGTTGACAGCAGCCGAGCGGCTCATCCACGAGGACCAGGAAAGGAAACGGCGGCGCGTGGAGCGAGAGGCCGCCGCATAAGGCGGCGGAGCTTGGTGGTCGGCGTTGCGTAGTATTCGGAGAGACTCATATGTCACGTGTATCCATGTTCAACTGTCGCATTGTTTGTGTACGTCTATTGCTGTTTCACTGTTAAGGATTTATCGCATAATCCCTTACCTCCGCAGCTAATAGTGATAAGGCCGTGATGTTTCGGCCCCGTAAAATGGAGAGCCATTGTCCGTGATGGCTTAGGCCCATGCCACCGTGGTGGTGTGGCTCAGTCCTTTGGCTCTCTTTGACAATAGGTCTAAGCGTTGTCGCGGGTTGGTATAAACATTGCAAACTCGCAATCTTCGCACCTTGCCTTCTTCCGCTACGGTCGCACACAATCGTACTACCAACTTGCCAACCACACCAATCCGCACGCTCATCATGAGAGAGTTTCACGTTCCCCCTCTGGATATTAGCCGCTGGCGCCCACTCAGTCCTGGTGCATCCCTCTCCGCGAAGGACGAGCCGATGGGCACTTCAATCTCCTGGGAAGCATACCCCATACCCGAACGGCCTCGCACGGCGGAGCTGCGGCGACCTTCAGTCTGCGAAAGCATCTGTGGCGACCCAAACCCGAGCAGCCTCCCTAAGGAAATCTGGCGTATCCCTCACGCGCACTATATCGCGTTCTCGCTCGATATGGCCGCTATCGCGAATACATTCGCCATGGACCCTTTCACACAGGAGGCGCTGATGCGGCTCCAGCCGAAGCGTTACGTCGGGCTTGTCGTGTGGTCCGGTATGCAGCCCGAGTATGCTGAGGGAGCTCAGGAGGGTGATCCGCCTTTGCGCCATCTTGAGGTGCTCGCACCACTGTTTGTGGCTAGTGGTCCCCCTCCAATCCCGGAGGCGAAGGATATGTACCTGCCTATCGATCCGTCGCCCCCTAGCCGGACGCAAGAGAAGCCTCAGAGTCACTCTGTGGTTGTGACCGACGAGGACTCCGCCATGACTGTGGACGGCGTCTTCGATATGGAGGACGAATTCCCCGAGCAAGACGTTCAAGAAAGCGACCAAGGACAGGCATCGGACTGCCATGACGCTATGATGGACGAGGACGACGGCCAGTCGGCGCACAATCCCGAGGAGAGTTCCCAAGCCCTGGACGAGTTCGGACCTCTGTCCGCCATCCGGCACCCTAGCCTCCTTCCGCTGAGAGGACGCGTACAATGGCTGACTTTCGGCACTCGCCTGCACATCACGACGTTCCACGAGTCCTCGCTTTCGTTCTACGTCGACGACGACGAGGATCAGCCGCCGTACGAGTGGCGCAGATTCGAGGCTCTCGTCACCGACAACCTAGCCGCCCTCTTCGACAGGTCCTCTTCACCGCCGGACGCCGATGGTACTTCTGCTGGTTCTGGCGACGAGTCGGACGCGCTCGTTCAGAAGCTTCGCGTGCCGGACATTTCGCTGCCTGCTATCGTTTGGCGCGACATTCGGGGCGAACACGAGGACGACCCTACAGAGTTCGTGCGGGAGCTTGATAGGTGAGTTTTTAGAGAGCAGGGTTGCCATTTGACGCTCCCAGATTTCAGCCAACGGGGGAAGCCGGTTCTGCCAGCGGTACGCCATGGCGTGCGCTCCCTCTGAGACCTGACGCCGATGCATGCAACTGAAACCGTTATTTACTGACCCTGTTGCTTTCTGTAGGATACATGACATCCTGGGCGAATTGCGCCAGCCTTAAGCGAGAAGGTTCAGGCGAGCGTCCAGTTCGTGAACTGCGTCTGGAGGCCGGTACGATACGAACGCGTCTATGGAGCAATCCGCGCCCAGGTTGTGTTCTGTTCGCGTTAAGGTTCGGCGAGCGTGATGTCCGCATGCTCGTAATGCTGTTGAGCTCATAAGTACGGATATGTGAGTAGAAGAGAAGAATTAGTCCAAGGCGCTCATAGCCGCTGGTGTATTGGTAGAGATCAGGGTCAACTTCTTATACATGAATAATACTTCGGGCGTCCCGTGGGACGTGAGCCAAATCAATCGTACATCGGAAGCCATTCCAGCGACCTGAAGAGAGCCCTGATAGCGCCTGGCTCTTGTTTTGAGAAGACGCTGCCGCGCGCGACCGCCGTGGTTGTGCCATGCTGTTGTGGGGCGCACTGGAGTGCGATTTTTCCAAATTGCCATTCGATGGCCGATGCCCGAAGCAACGAAGAAGTAATGCAATACTGTAAGCGGGATGTGTGTACACGGTCGCCATGTCCGGCGGGAGAAGCAAGAAGTCAGAATCATGGCAATACGTCGTCGCGTCGCGCTTCATGCAGGCGGAATGAAATTCGAGCACCACACATCGCAATACAGACTCGCAAAGGTACGCGCGCGCGGCCTCGTGGGTGTCCGTCGCCGACCATCTGCAACCCCCAGCTCCGCGGCTTGGTAGTGACCTTCCGTGCCTAACCCAAGGGCTTCACGCAATTTACGACGCACCCCGCTTGCCGCCGCCTCGTGCGCCCCTCCCTCTACCTCTCCCACGACCAGGTTTCTTCGTCGGCTGACCAGGGGGTGGTGTACCATCGTCTTCGTCTTCGCTGTCGCTCGAGCCTTTCGCCGCAGCGGCCTTGCCACGCGGCACACCCCGCGCGGAAGACCCTGCTGCGCCCTTGCCCACGCCTGCGCGCGGCGGCTGCTCCTTGTCAACGGCGGGCTTCCAATCCCGAAACTTGCGCCTGCACGCGCTCGAGCCCATTTCCTGGTACTCTTCCCTCGTCACGACGCACTGCGCAAACTCCGGCCGCGCGGCGAATGCGAGCGCCGATCGGTACGCCTCCAGGATCGGCCTGCATCAGGAGTAGCGTCAGCTGCCTATCTGAGCAATGCTATTTGGCACGATTACGGAAGGGGAACGTGGGAAGCCGACACGGGCGGCGCAGGGCGGAGAGTGGAAAGGTGGCATTGTGGCCACGTAATGTGGAGAAGAATTCCGAGGGTACGGAAAGAGAAATCCCAGAGAGAAGGAACGGGACGTACTCTGCAGAGGCGTATATCCCCACCTCGCAGTCGATGGGCGCGAGCGAGCGTAGTTCGGACATCCTGTCAGTGGGGTGTGGTACTTTGTCAGCGTGCGTCTGAGCCTATGGGACAGGACAAGCAAAGCGTTGCATAAGAGTGACGAATATGGCAAGAACGTTGAGGGTTCGACGGATGGGCGGATAGAGGCGTGTAGATGTGACGGACGATAGATGTATCGAAGGGGCTGCAGCTATTACGGTAGACGCTCCGCTAGTCAAAATAGCGCGATGGGCACGTACAGTCTATTTCGGAAGCCAGGCATGGCGGTGTTGCCACCAATCAGACCAATGTTTGCCCAAAACATACCCTGCAGATCGTCTGGTAAAAGCGCTATGCTCGCCGCCACCGTCGCGCTGAGCCCTGCCTGCTCTAGACCTGTGCGTGATTGTACGGCATGGTACAATGGTGAAAATCAGCGTGAGTGAGAGTTCATACACAGCGAGCTATTGGAAGTGATAATTGCCGATATCGGTCGGACTAAAAAGGATCTCTGGGATAGAGAACCGCTCGTTGGCCATCCTCAGGTGCCTTCGTCAAGCGATTCGCCCGGATCACGTATTCGCCCTGGCCGGCGTGCGGGGTAGTCCGGAAATATATACTCCTGTACTATTGGGTTCCCGTTTGGCCGGGCGCTATGTATCACACGGTTGTGTCGAGTTGGAGGAGAGCCCGTGAGGTTGGAGAGCCCGTGAAGTTGGAGAGCCCACGAAGTTAGGCCAGCCGGTAATCGAAATGAGGGTGCAGAGAAACGGGGGGACACTCAGTTAGGCAGGTGCATTCGGGCAGATGCGGTGTGAGCGTTCTGAGTTAGACGCACCGGCAGGTCTCAAGGTCCGCTGCGAAGTCCTCGGACACAAAGCAGCAAGCCTCCTTGATTTCGTTCATGATGTGTGTTTCTTCCATCATGTTCCATTGGCGATATGACACGTTCTCTTTCAGTTGGTTGGTCAGGAGCTTCCCACCGACGTCGATTCTGCCACAACATGATGTGTCAGCTTGAATATGCGTGATATGCACTCATGATATCTAGGAGCCCACCTCTTTACAGCCTCCCATACTACTTCTCCGTTGAGGAGTGGGACGACGTGGGTGAAGCTAAATCCGGAGTCAACGACGAGCCAGCACTCCGGTGTTGGTGAGTTTGACTGAGCAAAGAGCTGGCCATATGGTATGAGCGACGCGGCTGCAGGAGGATCAATTCAACAGTGCCGTGAGTTTGAGTTTGATATGAGCGCTTAGGAACGAACGGACGGGTGCATCTGAAATAAGATCGAAACTCGTATTCTTCGAACACGAACTGATCGTAGACGTCTTGGATGTTTGGAAGATTGAAGTAAGGCTCCGTAATCAGCAAAGAGGACTCGGACGTGTTGATCTGGACAGTCAACGAATACGTCGCGTCGTTTCCACCATTAATGTCAACGCCATACGGTCGGATGGTTAACTGACCCCAAGGACCTCAGTCGAGAATAGACCATCCCAGATGGCCTTTTGAGCATCCCAATCAACAAGAAATCCCTGATAGCTGTCACATTGTAGATTGAACCAATTCAGAATGGTCATCTATTGACCTACCTTCTCGAATGGCAGACGGAATCGGAGAGATGTGCAGTCACGACACTTGGCTAACTCATGCCCAATATAGGTAGCATTGTCGCCTTTAGCTCGGACCACGGCATTTGAAATGACTCTATAAAACGATGAGCTGCGCGTATGCCGTACTGGACAATTGGCGAACAAACCGGGGTTGTTCGTCGTGTACGCCGAGAATGCCAGCTTTGATTGCTGACGCGCCGTTGTCTACCAGGACAGTAGGAATGCTGGTGGTGGGCATGACCTGGTATATAGCAAGGTTGCCTCCAGACGGAGACGTTGAGGATGAGAAACCTGGCAGGTAGAGTGCTGTCGGTGCAGCTAGAAGACGAAATGTTCAAGGTCAGCACCAATTGGAGGAGGAGAGAGCATGAAACTGAACCGAGCAAACACACTAGCGCCCAGCGTTCACAAGCCCGAGGCGCCCATTTGGCGACGCTGATTGGCTAGGGCTGTGCACTGTGCCCAGGCTGGTCGCTCCGGCCTCTGTGTCTAGCTCGTCCCACCACAGTCGAGGCCTCCGACTCACCGCCCGCTCTTCCAGAAGATCCGGTACATCCTTTCAACCTGTCTGTAGCTTCCGATGAAGATCTAATACATCGACTTAGTCCCGTCTCGTTTGAGTGCTGTCATCTCGTGTCGGACCCAACGATAGCAACTTATCAACGACTTTCCATTGTCCCCCCTTGCTGGAGGCTTCTATTAACCACAAGTGGTACGTCCTCTTCGGGCCCCTCATGTTTTGCGTGAGCCATCCGACGTTCGTGCACAGGTCTTGTACTTCCTCAGCAGATCCGTCTGTACACGCTGATCGTCTCACCCGTGCAGGTAAGCCCTGTACACGGGATGCCGTATGTGATATGCTCTTGCCCTGCTTTGACAGCTTCCGCAAATTTGCTACGAAGCCAGACACTCGGATTGACCATCAGTTTTTTCAGCTTTCATCACAGATGTGTGTTTGTTTCTGGACCTTGGATCATCCGGAGTATGCCTTGTGTGTGACACGATTAGCCATCACTTTGTGGTCCGAGCTCAGCGCAGTGAACTGACACGCTCGCTGGGGCAGGATCCTATGTAGCAATCGCGACGAGTACCTCCACCGGCCAACCGCGCCTGCCCACTGGCACTCTTTCGGCCCTATCAATGCCGACAATACCGGAGAAGGCAGCGTTCTATCCGGCAGGGATTTGTTGGCTGGTGGAACCTGGGCAGGAATTAGTCGGGGAGGCAGGGTCGCCCTTCTGTGTGTCGAACCGCGCCCTTCGGACCTCGCCCTCCGTACTCATGAGTACGCCTCTGCCCAGGACAAACATCACGGAACCCATTCGGAAGTATGCGTCCTCCCGCGGCGACCTCGCCTCCCTGTTCCTGCTTCCACCAATCCCAAAACCGACCCTCAAGGACGAGATCGACGCATTCCTTGACGCCCATCGCGACGGCGTGTACGCTGGGTTCAACCTACTCGTCCTATCGCCTTCTCCGTCAACTGATCTCGGCGCTAACGGAGGACTGTCGCTCGAAGGAGCGATCCTCACCAATCACGGTGGCGGCGGCACGATCACGGCCCGTATGCTCTCAGAAGACGAGCGCCATGTAGGCGGTATGTCCAATGGCATCGAGGGCCATGGTGCGGAGGAGTGGCCCAAGGTCCAGCACGGCCGACAAGCCATGCGCGACCTCCTCCACGGCTTGCCACAAGACGCGATGGAGGCCCAGATCGCAGACCAGCTGTTCGAGCTTCTGACGTGAGCTTTGTCTTTTTCTTTTCCCGCTCGCGTCCACATGCCGTCGTTCCCCGCCTCTGTACCCGGCACACTTCTGGTCTCGGTCGTGGTCCTCGGTGTAGCGCCCGTTGAGATGTGCCCACGCTGACTGGCAAGGAGCGCCGCTCCTTCTCTGCCTCTTCTCCCCTTAGCTGGACGAGCGAGAAGGCACCCGTGGATCGCTCCGAGCTGCGCAACACCATCCATGTGAAGCCCCTCCGTGTCCCGCTGCACACGATGCCCGAGGGAGCAGGTGGGGCGACGGGCACGCCGCCCTCGCATTTGTATTACGGCACTCGCCTGTCGACGGTAATCCTGATCCGAAGGGATGGACACGTAACTTTTATTGAACGAGACGTCTGGACCCTCGATGACTCGAGGGGCGGTGAGGGTGCCGTGCCCAAGCGAGATTCGGGAGGCGATCGCGTCTTCCACTTCCAGATCCCGCGGGATCCATGCGCAGAGCATTCGTCGAGCTGAAGCTGAGAACGGGCGGAGCGGCGAAGGATGGTGTGGGAAGCCGCAGAGGGGGAAATGAAGCAGACGAAGGCGTCGGCGAGGAAAGCTCTATCCGAGATGTATTGGACAGCATTAGGTTACCTATATACGCTACTATGCTACACGGAACGCCGTGATAGTGTACAATCCGGGACCCCTACGCCCGGCCCACGGCCCATCCTACATATGATAAATACAACGGCCAATCGCATATCCGTGTCAGTGACAAATATCAAGTGGTATATGGAGTAGATAGAAGTAGGAGTGCGGGATAGTAGGAGTGCGGAATAGTGGGAGACAGGCAACAGACAGCTTCATCGATAGAGCGAGAGACAAGTGACATAGGGTCCATGAATGTCCGCAGTAAGCGTGCACAGGGTGCTCCAGGAGGAAAAGTGGACGAGAAGAACAATCCAAGTGGAGCATATGCCCTTAGCTGATATAGGTTTTGTGATATACGGCGGCGGCATGCTCGGGCTGCGTCGCGGCCGCGACTGGGAAGTATGAATCATAGCCGGCAGACTGGCCCATCTGCGCGCTTGGCCACTGCTCGTGCATACTGGGACCCGTGGCTGCGCCAATGCTTGACTGGCTCGACGTCGATATGGGCGACATGTTGAGCTCCGTCTCGGTCGGCGTCGACAAGCTCTCGTACGACGAGGGGCTGCCGGAAGTATTGCCGCTGTTCGTCATAATACGCAGTGAGCACCCTCGAGCTACCAAGTGAAACGAGGGGCCACCTACTGCATGATATCATTCAAGTCTGCCACGCGCCGAAGTATGACGCAGCTCCGAGACGTGTTATGTTCGGGTAACTGCCTGAGGACCGCCGCCGTATTCTGGAGCTGATTCGTGAGCCCGATCAGGACGTTCCCCGCTGCCGGGTTAGTCAAGCACGGGCACGAGTGTTGCATGTACTGCTGTTGCTGGTCTTGGTAATAGTGGTCCCCATTCGAGACGCCATGGCGCGCCTCGCCGTACGTCATGACAGACGCGGAGGAAGGCGACGAGTAGCATGACGAGTCGTCGGCGGGGGAATACACGGCCTGCCCATGCCCGTGCCCCTGCTGGTTGCGGTAGAGGTTATACGAGTGCCCGGAGCCGTTGTCGACGTTGGGGTGAGTGGGGGAGGGCGTAAAGCGGTAAAGGTGCTGTTGAGAGGGGTCCGAGCCATGCTCCGTCTTGATAGCAGGCGGCATTCGCCCGTTTGCCTCCTCGTGCCGATCTCGGGGGCCCTTTTGATACTGAAGACGTCGAGAGGAGCGTGAATGCCACTTCTCGTTGGGGTCGCCGTCGCAGAATGTGGGTTCCGCCCATTTCGGATGAGGTTTGCCTGTAGTGACCGTCGATTGCTCAGTACGATGTGTGACCGGAAGTGCGCGAACAGCCCGCGAGACGCGCGCGCGGAGGGGAACTTAGATAGCGAGAAGATATGGAACGAACCTCGAAGCTCGCGAACGAGGCTCTCAAGTTCTGCAATGCGATTGCGCAGGCGGGTGTTCTCGTCCACGTTCGGATCATCCCTGAACGAGAGTTCAGTACATCTAGATACGACGCGCACGGAGCTCAGGCTCGAGCGAGACGCTACCTACCGGAGAGCGGGATCGTCGACCTCGTATACACAAAGGCCCGTCTAAGCGTCGTTGAATAAGCGGGTGAACATTGGACCGGGAACGTAATAGGCAAGAGATCGTACCAGACCGAGTTGTATGCAACGCTGGCATGGTCGCTTCCTGTCGCACTGTAGACAAGTGCATCAGAGCCGGGCGCGCAGTGACAGGTCGCCTATTGTCGCGTACCTTGCGCTTAGACGTATGGCAATTCAAGCATGATTGGGTGGTCCGGTTGCGGCGACTGTGACGAAGGGCTGAGTGGGAGGGAGAGGGGGGAGTGCATCAAGAGGAGACTCACCGCTTACGGTGATCCACCTCCAAGCCGGCGAGGTCGAAGTCCATTATTTCGCCCTTGAACTGGAGGGGCTGAGGAAGAGTGTCGGCGGGAAGTACAGCGGCAGATGACATGGTCATGGCCGGGGATGACTGAGGTGATGGGGACTCGGAGATGTTGACGGGATGGACATCCTTAAGTACGACTCCTGTGCGAGCGCCATCTAGTAGGGCGACGCATCCATGGCCCAGATTGAGCAGATCTCTCAGCGGATACCGATCCACCGTTTTGGCTTCGAAGCACAAACAGTACCGAAATGGAGCGGGAGCTCAAGAGAATTCAGGGCCCTGAAGATGCCTCTGGGTCTGGGTTACACGCCGTTTCCGTCCAGTGCGTGACACACCGTGCGAGTTGTGATAATAATTCCCAGCGTGGGGATGCCCGCGGAAGCAGATAAGGTTCTGCTGAATGGGCACCGTCGGATGCCGTTATGCATGGAATGGATGATGATATCCAAGAATTCAGATACTTGAATCAGCGTAGAAATCAGACCGTGCAAATTGGGGACATTGGCTTCCAGGGCGTCGTCTGAAAGCGCGTTCGATTTCGATACTGCCACCCGCCGGCACGATACGACGAACCAAAGTTCTACAGCAGGCTTCAGTGAGCAAGATACGGTTCTGGTTCTCTGGCGTTGGTGGCGGCTACCAGGCGACGGCTGAGTTTGGACGATATAGATTCCGTGCGCAATATATCCAGGAACAGGAGTTCCTCCCACCAAATCACGCGGCCAACACCGACGCCGGTGCTATCGCATGTTCCCGCCAGAATATGTATGTACATATGCCATCACAATGTTCCGTTTGGAGCCCCAACCTGAACAAGATCAGGGAGGCCAACTTGACGATTCGTCATAGCACCGAACATCGTCCCACTTAGCCGGCGTCGCCGGAGGCGGATAGGAAGCTTCGTCATCAATGCATGAGCATGAGCTCAGGGTGGAAAGGAGAGCGCTATGCTGGTCCCTGGATGGTGCAAAGCGACTTACCAGGTCGACTGAAGGGACGACGGAGGCCAAAGAGGAGGGTGGTAGTACGGAACGGTCGGGTAAATGGATAGCGCGTGTGCTCCCTGAACGTGTTCGATGCCGACGGCGTACTCGGGGCGAATGGGAGCTTCTGATGGCCCATGGGCCGGACGGCGCGCCAAGCCAAGGGCATCTCGAACTCGCCGGTCGGAAGCCCTGTGCGGCAGGAGGACCTCACGGAGGTCGAGTACGCTCGCATAGGGAACGTAGATCTCCAGCAGCGCGTGGCAAATGCGACACTGGCGACAGACGTGCAGAACACGGCATCAGAATGTGGCGTTTGGATTCGTCCCGCCAGCGCGTCGCATTCTATACCTTACGTTAACTTGCCTGCCTAAGGCGCTCGCGACGACCGCACGACGTCCCGGTGGCACAGGTCTTGGAATCCCTCTCAGCATGGCGCGCAACCGCCTGCGAGATAGCAAGGCGGGGACGGCTGAACGCCACATACTGCGAGCTTACGGCAAGCAAGGGCCCAGCTACGACGTCTGCGCCGTCCAATCTGGTCAACGGTGAGAAGGCCAAGGCGCTCCCGCACGGACACCTCCCGGCCTGCTGGCGCGCATCTGGTTAGGCTATCTGGTAGTCAGATAGGGGCGTGAGTGTCAAGTCGCCGGAATCCTCCTTGTCGCCTCGTTGTGCCGAGCGCGGCCGCGCTATGCGATACATACATTGCAACGCGTAGCACCTAGACAGAGAGGACCGGACGGAACGAAAGACGTAACGGAGATATCTCAGCTTTGATCGCGGTCCCGCGAATGAGCGAATCTGTCCGATCACGCAGGATTGTTGTCACACACCGCGGACCTGGCTAGACAAGGGGGGCACTGACTTCTGGGCGCACGGTTCGACGGGAAGGGGCCTGCAGCTGGCAGCGAATGGCTGGAATGAGACTAGATCAAGGTTCCGAGTCTTGTCAGGAGAACGGCACTCTGCGGGTGCCCGGCCGAAGGCGTAAGATTCAGTTTAGGATTTGGATGGGAAAACTCACCGGAACCCAATGCCAGCTGATGATCTTCCGGACCGCCTGACGACAGTCAATCCTTGAGACAAGTGAATGTTACGAACACAGGAACCGGGACAATCGCGTCGATATTCCATGGCAGAACGGGCGTTGCGACCCTGAGCACGACCTTCATGGGCGCTAGGTGCAGAATACCGGCCGAGAACTCTGGGAAGACGCTGGAATGACCACGATCAGGACATCGGGAGCAGTCGAATCAGAGTTGTAGAACGGGGTTTCCAAATCTGCACGTTGCAGTTGAGAGCTGAGGCAATCAGGAGAAGACGGGAATCCAGAGTCCGCGGAAGACGAGAGGAAGACTGCCAGATAGCACGGTGCGACGCGGAAGCCAGGCGTACTGAGTGAATCTAGACCGATGGCTTCACAGCGAGCATGATCCGAGCTCAGCTGCCGTTACCGGACTACGAAGAGGAGTTGTTAGATGCACAGACATTCTGAGCCAGATACTCGAGTCGTTCCTCGCCAACGGCGATAGTCCGGGGCTGCCGGACATGGCTGTTTGTCGCTGTTTGCTTCTTGGCGCTCTCCCGAAAACCCTCCGCGCCACTGATTGTTTCGACGAACCTTGGCTTCGACAGACTTGCGACAACCTCGGACAGAGGTCAGTCCACCGTTCTCACGTACGTCCTCAGCCTGGAGATTCCAGCTCATGTGAGTATCATCGTGATTTGATATCAGGTCCCCCCAATGACGTCCATCCCCGGTCCTGCGCTCCCACAGATCCGCCATGCCGCTGCAGCGTGCACAACCGAGTTCTCTCGCTACTCCTCTGTTATGTCCCCAGAACGCGTTCCCTCCGTATACAGCTCATTGACTTCCATATTGCAATAAGCGAGGTGTCATCGTTGACGCTGGAACCGGCGACCGTTCCAGACATAAGGACGAAACACGCTCACCTGTCTGGTGCGTCCAAGAGACCGGATCGTAGATAGTCATATTATATGGGATGTTCACTTCTTGTCCCCTCCAGTCCCACATGTCAATATATATTCAGGGGGATGCTTTCGACCCTTCAATCTCGCAAATTGAAATCAACTCGATGGTTTCGCTATCTTCTGTCCTTGTCCTCGGACAAACCCCGACTATGCGGTCCGAGCAGGGCAAGGCCGCTCGCGGACCCAATATGCATGGCGCCACGCATCTCAGGTAAGAGCATGCGTTCACCTCTGGTTCTTGGTATCGGCATTGCGCCACAACTCCGTTATTACGGTGCTATAGCATAGCCAATTGTGTCTTTCACGGTTCTTGAGTTCTTTCTGCGGCTCGCCTTTGACGTCGTTGACGGCATCGACGTGAGGACGGGCCTCCGTGGTGTATTGTGTGGCGACGATCTCATGGTTTTGCTCCACAATACTGCTGGTCGTGGGGTACGGCCGAAGTTGTTGTCCCCAGCTTATGTTATGGTTATGGCACTTGCTACACCATCCTTGGATGGCGGATGTTCGCGTAAGTGCTCCCAACTTCATCCGGTCCACGTTGATATTGAACGTAGGCGGACGACGAGGGCTTTAGACAGCCCGCCCCGCATCCGTAGGAGATCTATGCATAATTTCCCAAGATCCTGCTCGGTTCGACTGCTTCTTCCGCGCAGCGACGCATATCGATCACATTTCCGCAGGTTTGGAGGGCTAGATTTGACTGTCGAAGGCTGTATTTCTCGTCACCGTTTACGTGGTCGTGCATCGTCGCCGAAACATCGGCAATCCGGACCCTTGCGCAAACCATCTCAAGAACCCTTTCCTGGCTTCACACTTTGTCTCTACCCGGTTAGCAGACATCTATCCCTTCTGACCCTCGATTTGTGCCCGAGACAGCCAGAGGTGTAACCATCCATCGTGCCCGGTTGTAGTGACTGCATTTGCGGCTGCTTCTCTCCTCGTAGGCCATGCCATAAGAGGCACCCTATATTGACGACAAGACGTTTCCCTCGTTTTCCGCAGCGATACGGGACGTCCAGGTAGCCGATGACTCGGGTATTCTGCTTGGACGAGTCTCTAATGGTCTAAAATTGGATCTTGCAGGGTTGGGTCGATCCGTCCCTAGCGACAAGACGCCCACATTCTTTGCGTAGCTTCCAACGATCTGAGGTCTCCTTATGCGACAACAGACCGCTAAATTTCTCGCCGACGTTGACATTTGTATCTGTATCTTACGTATAACGCAGGTCGCTGCTCTAATTAATGACGAATTGTGGTATCGACGTGATCGACACGCGTGTTTTCCGCCGCTCGGTGCCGTAATGGGGTGCGTACAAAACGGCGGCGCTTGACGGACGAGTTGTCCGCTGTACTTGGGTGAACTGGCAGGCCGCTCTCGCTGAGTAAAGCCTGGCGGTGGCCAAGTCGGCGACGTCGGCAAGCGATAGCGAGAACGTGGTTTCGGATCCCGCGACGCGGTGTGACCAACGTGCCCCCGAGCACACGCGCGCCTGTAGTGACGCAGCTCCTGGGTGGCGTGTTGCGCGCCATCCGCGCGCCGTCTCCCAATCATGCACCGTCGTCTCTCGTTCCACTCCGTCTTCGTCCTTGCTTCTTACCTCACGCTCGACTGCGACTCTGCCCTCTGGAGATGTTGTCTGACCCCGCAGAGGATCCTGGCTTCTCGTCATCCTCGCCCTTGACATCACCAGTAGACGAGTCTGACCATTCGCTGCCCCATCCCCCGGACCTGAAGGAACAACAGAGCTTGCCGGGATTAGATGGAAAGCCCGTTCGCTGTGAGTGCCGCATGTTTGATGTCCTCGTAGTCGTTGTTCTCTGACCGTCCGTACGGGGCAGGGTTTGATGTAAGTCCTTCTGCCGGCAAGACATTTCACCCCTCGGGCTGAAAGGACCCGACGCGTCGTGTAGGCAGACCGCTCGGAACCGTATACGCACATTACCCCCTTTCAGGAACAACATGACACGAGTGTCGAGTGAGTACGCATATATGAGGCGCGTGCCGCAACCTATCTCAGATTTTCCAGGTTTTTCTACAAGCCGATAACCTTAACCGCACTTGGGGTGGGGTTCGCGATTCTAGCCTATGTCGCGATGACGCAGGACGTCTTGAAGGAAGGGGCGGAAAAGCAGAGAATGTGAGCCGCGTTTCTGGCCTGAAAGCAAGAAGGGAATGTCGTGGGTTGACGATTGGCTAGCGGCGTGTACGCCGTCATCGCCTCGTTCCTGCTGTTCTCGATGCTTCAGTTTCGGGACGGCCCATTCATTCGGCCCCACCCTGGTGAGCCCCTCTCCGCGGACTGTGGGGTGCGTCCTCGTATCTCACGGCGGCTGTCGCAGCATTCTGGAGGGTCGTCTTGGGTATCAATTTGCTCTATGAACTGGCACTAGTCTTCCTGCTTTTCCAGGACCTTGACTCGGCACGGTCGATGATGAAATATCTAGACCCCAATCTGGGAAAGCCTCTCCCTGAGAAGAGTTATGCCGAGAACTGTGACCTGACCGTCAAGAATGTGTGGGTACGTCTAGGTTCTTGTCACGGTCCCCGGTCCCTATACTGATGTGCGGCCGTAGAACGCTATAGATATATTTTGTCTGGCTCACGCTCTGGGGTGGTTTGGGAAAGCCCTGATCCTGCGTGACTACTGGTTCTGCTGGGTCGGTTCCCACAGTCTCTTTTGTTTTCCCGGGCGGCGAGGTGACTCGTTTTCCAGATTCTGAGCGTTGCCTTTGAGTTCGCCGAGTATAGTCTGCAACATCAGCTTGCAAACTTTGCAGAGGTGCGTCATGCGTCGTCACTGCCAGGAACGGTGCTGAGGCTACCTTCATGGCGCAGTGTTGGTGGGATCATGTCAGTTCTAGGTCTTCATCGGCGAAATTTCGCGCTACTGACGTCTAATACAGTGGATTTTGGACGTCTTGATCTGCAACTGGCTGGGGACTTATCTGGGTGCGTCCTAGCTATTCGTGGCAGTCTGGCTACCGCTAACGTGGGCGCTACCAGGCATGAAGGCATGCCAGTACTTCGAAGTAAAGGTATGCGCGCTTCACAATCGCTTCGCGACCTGTCTGACTAGCTGCAGGGTTACACCTGGCGCGGTTTCCGCCAAAGCCGGGGAATCCGTTCGAAGACTAAGCGCGTCATCAGCCAATTCTCCCCTCATGATTGGACGACGTTCAAGTGGGAGGGAACGGCATCGTTCGGCCATTACTTGACTGTCGTTCTGCTCCTGGCTGTCTTTTTGGCGGCCGAACTGAACCCCTTCTATCTGAAGGTTTGTATTATGGCTATGACATGCAAGGCACTGCTGAATGAGCGACGCACGTTACTTAGGCATTGCTCTGGATGGAGCCTGACCATCCATTTGTTATTGCCCGTTTAGCGGGGGTGTTCTTGTGCGCGCTACCAGCTGTGCGAGAATTGTTCCAGTATGTCAACGACCCAAGGTACGTCAGTCTTCGCTGTCCCGTCAACGCACAGGGTTGACGGACGATCGTCACCGATGCTTCGGGCCTCGTGTTGTGTCGCACGAGCAGACGGGCCGTGCGAATGGGGCAGCACGTCTGGTTATTGCTTGCTACGATTGCAACGGAATTGCTGGCGATCACAAAATGGAGTCAAGGCCAGTTCCCCGAACCACTCCCTAGGACCGTCCGATGGGCCTGGACCATAGGCGCTGGGCTGCTGGTTCTCTATCCCACTGTTCGGGTACGTTGCTTTGTTCTTTGCTTCGAGGCGCCTGGTCAACTGACTGACGAGTTACGTATCCCGTCCACTGCGTCAGTTCGGAATACCTGCGGCAAGGCGGTATCTGCGACGCCAGCAACATAATTCGAAGCCCAAGAGCGCATGAGGAGCGTGGAGGGGTACTATGGGTTCCGTGACGCCGCTATGCTGCGGGCAGACGAATGGAATGCGCGTGGTCTGGCGCGGCGGTGCGCAGAGAACGCGTCCGGAGGCATTAACCTACTGTGTCTATTCTAATCACCAGGCACCAGCCTAAGTCTTGTTCTCACAGGATGCGCTTCTCAGCGAATGGTGGCCCGGAGTGATTAATACAAACAGGCGGACGGAGCGGCGCCAGTCATGTCGCGATGCCGGTCGAAGCAGACAGACCGCATGGAACTCGGAGGGTTAGTCGCTCAGCCTGGCCAGTGGGGCCCCGCGCGAGTCGCATCGGATTCAGACTTGGACGGAGATCGAGATCCGGTGCGCGGATTCGAAGGCAGGCACAACTGCTGCCCGGCTGATCGATGTGATGCGCGCTACCCTCCAGCCGCCCGCCAAACCGAGCAAGACTGCTTCCCCAATACGATCCCGCAGAGAAGCCAGCGTCTGTCCCCGGGCGCTTCCCCCGGTGTGCTCTCGCACACGCCCCCAGAGCCGTTGTCTCCGCTCTAGCCTCTTCGACCTACCGCTCCGTTTGCGCTACAGCCAGTGGATGAGCATCAGGGTCTCAGCGAGCAGTCTCAAGGCTTACCCCGCCGAGCAGGCCACGTCGGCATTGCGCGCCGAGGAGCAGTTCTCTCGTGCTAGTCCCGAGTGAGTTATCGACTCGTCGACTCGGTCGGACTCAGCGGCAGTGGAGATAGTCTGGAGATAGACCGTCTTTCTCAATCGTCGCCTCGACACCGCGGTGATCAATCAGCGGTTTGACAATGCATATGACTGCTGCTATCCCCTTCGCAGTCGCGCCGCGCCCCTCCCCGCTATCGCGCCGCTCGTGCTGCTAGTACGCTGATGCTAGTAGTTACCATCCCCACCGGCCGCGGAATGCCAGCCCGGGCCGCTGGAGATCGTACATCTCGTAACGCGTATCGTGCATTGTGCGTCGCGCAGTCAGATAGTGGTGGTGCGTAGGTCGCCGGAGCAGCACTACGACATAGAGGGCAGGTTGTGTGAGTCGCTCCTGCCCTATGCCGCTGCGCACAGCTTAGGCTCCTCTCGCGCCGCGGTCATGCGCCACACTTTGCTCGTGTGTACTGTGCACGTCCGTGCGCTCGCGGCGCCGTCACCATCGGGAGCACTGCACCTGATGCTACGACGATCTCCGGCCGGATAGCCTCCCGAGGTGGGTCTACCCTTGTTGTGGCGCGGTCGGAGACATTGACTCCATGCGAACTGAAACTGCAAGTTCGCCCAATACTGTAACGTCTATTCCGTGGAAACTCCCGCACCGATCCCTGAATTTCGGTTGACGTTGTTGCCAACGATTTCGACCGCCCACGATAAGTGATGGTGGTGCTGGCGTGTCTGCGCCTGCGCCTGCGTCTCTCTGTCTGTGGCGTTGCCGGCGGGTCGCCCCGTCATTATGTAGGACGTAGGTCAGATCGGACAAATCGCAAATCGACGCACGCGGGCGTCTGCTCGTAGTGCTGACAGTGAGAGCGGCGATGATCGCGTCCATATTCGGGAAGCTAGTCTCCGCCGCTCGAGGCGCACACACGCAATGGTGGCTTATGGTTAAGCCAGCCCCAGTTGCGGTCGCGCCAGGGGGCGGGCGAACCCTGGGGGCTGGTGAGCTGGCGTGACACGCGGCCGCCGGGGCAGGGCGTGGAGAATGGCAGCGCTTCGCGTTCGAGGCCATGTATACACTGTCGCAGGTATGACCCGTAGGAGAGAAGAGTGCGGGTGAACAGATGACGCTGCAAGGTTCCGAAGAGACTCAAGGGAGCCGGGAGTGCATCCTGACACGAGGACGATGATCAGAGCTTCCACCAGACATGGACAAAGACAGTGCCGGCTAAGGAGGGTTTTCCGAGGACATTGCACGATGGAGGCTGGGGCGGGAGGCCGAGCCGCTCCTTCATGGTATTCGCTGGACGATGACGATAGTGACCGTCGGCGTTCGAGTTTGCAGAGATGCCGTCGATCGGGCGTGAGCGTATCATAATCGCATTGGTGCAACACTACTACAGATACATAGATACAGAACAAGGCTCTAATAGGAGCGTCCTCAGGCGCACCTTACGGCAACGGGGTGTGAACGCAGAATGCGAGACGGCGAATACAAGGAAAGCGAGCGGCTAATGGACACGGTCCGCAGAGTTTGCGGTCTCACGTCGAGGACCCTTGACGTCCCACGTTGCGTTGAAAAGGGCGCGGGACGGATATGCAGAAGATCAGTGCGACAAGCACGGTGCCGGTGTGATCTGTGACTCGTGCCGCGGTATTATGGATGCCCTAGACACGTATGAGATACTCACTACCAGACCGCACCGTGAGAATTTGTAGTTACGAGCAATCACTAGGGCAAAGGACATACCGACACTGGACATCGCGCTGAACACTATGCAGCATCAAGGATGGCGCGATTGTCGTCCCGCCGACGGGGAAGTGAATCTTGAGAACCCCTTCCTTGCAGCAGCAGATGAAAGCATCCATCAACTCAATCGGTGACGGATGGAGATCGACCCCCTACACGTTCAACATGCTCACGTCCCCGTTTGCTGGGCCTAGTCGAAGTGAGCCTCATTCCAGCTTCTCGAGCCCGTCTAGACGTGCTGGCACGTCAAGGGTTGGGAGTACACAGCCCTGTCGCGGACGATCGAGCGGTGGACTGACGGGAAGGCCGAGGGGTTCATAAACGAGGCTGCAAACGGGCACTTCGAGGTCAGTTCACGTCCACCCCTCAGCCGTCATTCGCCAGGGCAGGTATGCAGGGACACAGACGTTGAGACTTTACGTGCGTCCATTCATTTCGCACGAAATGATTGGAGCCGGAGGAGCGGTTCCCGTCCTCCTCGCGTTGCACGATCATAGGTGTCATTTAGGCGTCGAGCGGGCCGGACTGATGCTGCAGTGCTGACGGTAGGGTAGCTTTTGTGACGGGAGAAGCAAGACGTGGGGGAGCCGTGCTCGGAGAGTAGCTTGGTTACCATTGAAGGTGCTGCTGGATTCGCGTTCGTCCGCGGGCTCCCATGCGCCTTTGACTGGTACAGGGTCAGCCTTGTGATTCCTGGTCATAAGCTTGAGAGGGCGGAGTGGTTCTAAGCGAGCCATGAGGTGCGCCTTTTGCTCACAATATGGCATTGACGACGATCTGTAGAAACACGGAGGGCACAATACGCGTGAGCGTCGCACACGACCGCTTGACCAGATTTTCGTCCCTTGAACGAATATCACAAGTCTTGCGACCTCCAGAAGACGTGTATTTGTTACAATGCTGATGCAGCGTAGTAGTTCGTAGGTCAGCCTCGAATGAGGCGGAACTATGAGTCTGTAAGGGGCGCGAACAAGTCCGCGTCGGCCGGAAGGTCCGCAATCCATATATAGGAAAGCGCGGGAACGTTCTAGGAAGGTCTGGCGCCTATTGGTGAGAGGAGTCGATCGTCATCGTGCGGAACATATGCGCCGAGCAGACAACACAGCACCTCACAACTCCTTGTTCTCATACCACCATCATCTCGACACTATCCTCTAGTTGTCGCAACGCCTTTTCATGGACCGCAACAACCATACAAACAATAGCGGTTTCTTTCGCCACATCTATGATCCCCAGCTTGGTCACGCTTTTGGCAACTTCGTCCGGGGCCTTATGCCGCAGCACCCGCCTCATCCATCTCACACCCAGCCTGCGAACCCGCCGCCACCAGAGTCATTGAATGCTCGCCAATCGCCAGACTCGCTGCCACTAGAACCTGCCGCTCCTACCTCTCGCCCAGAAACAATCGAGGCGTCCTCGGTACCAAGTTCAAGCATAAGAAGTGCTTTTGTGAGTGTTAGCCGCTTCGTGAGTACCTAGTCATGTCTCATGAAGTCTCTCCACAATCCAGAACACCCCGATCACCACCCCGTCCCCTGGGAGTATCTCAATACACCATTCCACTCATACGACAGATATGCCTCCGTCCAATACCCAATTGCCTGGTGCTGTGCAAACTCAAGATGGTAACCACGACGTAGACATGGCATTGAACTCGGAACAAGGTCCGTCTCAGTCGTCTCAATCTGATCCTGATTCTCTTGCTCGTAGCACCCGGCGTGCTCGAGTAGAGGACGACGATGAGGACGAAGACGATCCCCGAGCTTCTAATCGTCAGCGCAGGTATTCGCCGGCGCAACACGACGACGAGCACCATTTCATGCCGATTCCCGAAGACCACGGAATACCGCCGTCTGCATCAGACGCTCGTGCTTCCCCGCAACCCGACTCAACGCCTCATTCTCCTCAGCAAGGCCCTGCGCCTCCACCTCCATACAGTCGAATGATGTGGACTTTCGAGTTCATACCAATACACGGTCGTAGGCCGAACCACAACGCGCAAGCGCCCGAAGAGGGCCAGTCGCAGGACGAGCAAGCTAACGGCCACTTCTTCATCAATGTTCCGATTACGGGAGACGGCCCTGCGCCACAAACCGGGGCGGCTGCCAATCAAGGTAGCTACAGTTCCATCTTCCTCCTCTCGCCGTACTTTTATCTTCCATTTACAGATGGAGGGAACCTGCCCGGTAATGCCGGATTCGCGTTTCCGCCATTCCCGTGGCCATTCGGGATGGACCACCTCGAAGAGCGGGACGATCCTGAGCGGGCGCAGCGCCTGGTCAACGGGTTGGAAGAGGTCTCCGCTGGACTGGTCAAGCGGATGGAGCGCGCCGGTGGGCCTGGGACTGATCGAGGCCAAGTTCCCACGTGCGCTGTATGTTGGGAAAGCTTGCTGGAGCCTGAGGGTGGCGGCTTCGAGGGAAACGCTGAACTGGCGGAAGCTGAGGCTGAGGCCGCACGCGAAGATGCTGCTTCTCAGCAAGCTCGCGAGCCTTCCATGGAAGTGGACGACTCACGCTCAGCTCCCGTGGCTGGTTCGTCAACCGCGTCGTCAAGCGAGCAATCCAAGCCTGAGGCTACGTCTTACTCTGTGAGTGCGCCCGGCGAGATGCAACATCCGAAGATTGTGGGTCTTCCATGCGCGCACGCATTCCATGCCACCTGCCTCCTACCATGGTTCTCGAAGCCAGGGCGTACGACATGCCCATCGTGCAGGTTCGACATCGATCCTAACTCACTTACCTACCAGCCGCGTCCGCTTCGGGCACGTCCTGGTCCGCAAGCTGCTCCCCGGACAGCTGCGGGTGCTCAGCCTGAAGGCGTGCATGGTGGACCTGCAACACAACCGCACGTATTCTTTGGTCCCCTTCCTCCATTCTTTCACTCTGCGGCTCCCCCACCACCCCCTCCTGTGCCTGCGCCTGCGCCGCCTGCCGACGTGCAGAACGCATCAAACCCACCCGGTGGTGCTTCACATACTCGCGCGAGTCCGCAGCCCGAGCAGGAGCAGACCTGGAATGGCCCGCAACGACAGCCGCTTCCGCCCTTTATCAGCTTCGACATAAGCATGTTTATCCCAATAATACCTGGCAGGGCAGGTGGAGCACCACCGCCCAGTGGTGCGCAGGCTGCCAGCGGCGTTCCTCCCGCGGACTCGCAGGGATCTGCACCGGTTGCGCCGCCGCCGCCACCGCCTCGCACCGACAACCATGGGTTCCCCTTCGACAATACAGTTCTGCAGGATGCTGTCCGCACCACGTTCGAGCGTTTGCTCAGCCGTGGTGGAATTCCTATCGTACCTCCTCCAGGGGCAGCCGCGCCTGGTGACAACGTACAACCCCGCGCTGATCAATGGTTTACGTTCTCCACAGGGCCACTCCCTGCTGCAATCCCTCCCATGCCACCACTCAACATGAGCATACCCTTGCCGCAGGGCGCGCCGCGTCGCCGGTCAAACCCTAGAAGGCCCGCCGAGAAGCGTCAGTGGGCGCCACCTCCGGCTCCGGGTCCGACGCTGCGCCAAGTCGTCGAGCGTAACGAGAGGCAGCTGGGCCTGCGGTGCTCGGACGTCAGTTGCGGACTGGGACCGTCGGATGACGATCCGGTCTCTTCTGTTGACTTGTCCAGCCTGCGTCAGATAGCTATTCGCCCGAAGTCCGATACGTCGGGCCAGGATACGGTGTGCGAGCACAGGTTCCACCCGGCGTGCTTGGTCAGTGCGGAGCGTGTTGCAGGCTGGGGTCAAGAGGTGAAGACTGGGGAGCCCGCGGGTGAGGACGAGAACATAGAGGTGTCGTGCCCCGTTTGCAGGGCGCACGGCGTGATACCCCGCCTAGAGTGGGAGGAGGGCGCCTGCGCGCTCGCGTGAGCTTCGAAGGCCCTGCGACAATACTCCGCTACTCATCCCTCCGCTGGCACTCCATTTCTCATCATTATGACAAACTGATTTATCAGTCCTCTCGCCGTTAGTCTCGTTCCAGCGTTCCAGTTCGTATCGCACAAGTCATTCATTATTTGGAGGATGTCCGTCATATTTGCAAATCGCATCGTATCATGAGTATGTGTGCCTTGTTACTGTTCCCGGTACTCGTACGTATTACAGACACGACGCAAGATAGAGTATTGTATAGTGTATTAATACATGTGCTGCTACTACCGACAAACCTCATTGCCGATACCGTTGGCTGAAGCGCCAGATTATACCCAAAGCAAGCCGCATCGCAGAGCGATCAGCATAGGATGACATCCTGCGGCGCTAACCTAAGATGGAGGACTGAGTTATCCTCAACCCATGTGCCCCAAAAGGCTATTTGCCTCTTCCAGGTTCTCATGCTCAACTCTTGCCCAATGGCGAGCCTGGGTACCGCCACCCTATATCGAGCAGTACCTGATACGTTCTGACGCCAGCCATGGGTTCGCGAAGCCAAGATGCACACAAGGCTCGTCCCCTCGTCGGACACAATTGCAGCTCGAGATTTCCCCCTTCCTCCCTCTGTGGGCTATGGTGACACCATCGATTGAGGCGCTCCCGGTGTCCAATCAGAACGACGCGCTGAGCAGCGTCTCTCCGTGCCGAACCATCCTCCCTTCTGGAGGTTCTCGAGCTCTACGATGTCCCTCAGTCGTTTCAAAATCACTCAGGCCCTTGAACCTTGGATCCTGCTGCAGACAGTTCTATGTTAATGTTCATCCAGATCTACCCGGAACTATCAGCGCGATTCCCCCAATGGGCATGGGACTGTGAGTAGAACCTGAACTCACTCCTCACAATTCAGCTGCATCTGCGGTTCGTCGGCGGACCTCTGTAGACTGCCCTCCGACGACACACGCCTCGTTGTTGTCACGCTTGTGAACTTGCAAGCAGACTGGTCCGGTTCTCACGGACTCTAGTTCGGGATCCTAGGATGACCGTGAGGCCAACTCGCCGGCCCGTTCGCCACTGCAGATTCCGCCGTTCAGGCAAGTGACTATAGTGACAGCATCCCATCCCTCAGCCACAATCTCGTCAGCTCTCCCGGAATCTGGGGCAGAAATCTGGCTATATCTCACGGGCCACTATCTGGCCGGGCTGAAAGGTTGATGCCATGGGACGATGCTGTATGCCAAGTTGAACCATTGGCCTGGGAAGAGAGAAGTGTTTGCTGCTGGGTATGACTTCAGCGGCGAATACTCGTTGTCAAGCTGATAGAGAGAGCACGGATTGCCGTCGGCGAAACGTCTACCTCGACGGCCTCAACTGCACAAGACTCTGCTCATGTTGGCCTCGTCAGCTGTACCGCCAAGCATTTGCCACGTCTGCGCGCCGCCCACGCACCCTGCAATCGAAGGATTGTCTGTGAGCAAAGCGTCCGAAAGTCCGAGTCCGTGGACCACGGGAGCCGGACGGATTACATCCTAGTGCCCCTGTCATGACCGATGAACATGCAGCAGAGCGCAGAAAGGAGCGCGTGCCGGTTCTGAAGCCTGCCCTTTGGCCATTCCACGCCACATTCTGATACTTCACACCTGATGCTTTGAATAGCCCGAGCGGATTCATCAGCTCACGGCGGTTCCGAGAGACGCAAAAAGGATAGATGATAAGTCGGACGCGTTAGGGTATGGGACTTGAATATGGATGGCTCAGGTCTGGCTGCTCATCGCGCTCGGGGGCTATCATCGTTCAAATGTTCCCTAATTTACGACTGGCTGGACGTGCAGGTGACGATGCAGCCATGCGGCCACTGGAGCGATATATATGATCTGCGGGGCACACTCCCCTCGGACTCCAAGGATATGACCATACAGGGCTGTCAAACCCACCAACCATGGCGCACGGGTGTAGAGGACCAAGTCGGACTTCAGCGTTCGAGGGCTTGACACATTATCGGTAACCATATTCCTTGAGGGAGAGACTACTTTCCAAGCTGCTGCGAACGCCTCCCATAAGATGCGTGTTGAATTGGTCCATTTATCGTGCAAGAAACGTGTGCTACAACATCGCACGGTTCCGAAGCAGGGGTCACCATGGAAAAGAAGCGAATGTGTGCACGGTTGAAGCACTATGGCGCCCAAGCCGTGCGAGGGTGCGAGGGACGGTCGTGAGGCCCGAGCGACACGACCCTACGAACCGCACCCGTACATCCGAAGAAAGGATACAACATGAATAGCGAGGCGCCAGGGGCCGGCGGCGAGCCAGAAGAGCAATTGAGGCCCTTCGCATCCTGAGCCCTACCTTCGTCTTCCATGCCTTCTGCACATTTGCGAGTATATACAGAGATCAAGATGGAGATAACAATGACAAGTCGCCGCGTAAGCACTTCCGCTATGCGCGTGGTGCTTGTGGCTTGGGAGGCCGAGGCGAGAGATAGCATCCGCGCTACAACCTTCCGAACGGCCAGGTGTCCCTTGCCATTGCCAGCCAAGGAGCAAGGGCCGTGGGCGTCGAACTTGAACTTTGCGAAGCAGCGAGTCAGGCCCAATGGTTCTGGCGGGTTCCGAGAAGTACGTCGCGACGCAGCGGCGCTTGTGCCGCATGTTAGCTACGCTTGATCCAGAATGCCGAAGGCGCCAGACGAAGCTGAAAAGAGGCGTCCCAGGGCTTCAGCCTGAGACGCGAGGGTATTCCCTTCTTCCCGTTCGCCTGATTGTCACGGTGGCCTTTTTCAAGCGTTGTCAGTAGGATGTCACACGGGACGGCTGACCGCATCCGACAGAACGCAAACTTCTCCGAGGTGAAGGCACTCAAGGTCAAGTCAAAGTTAGATCTCCTATCTTGCTGTTACTGCCATAATGCTGGCTGGAGACGTCGAATTAGTCTCGCCATGGCGGAGAGACGTCATTCGCGATGGGTACCTATCGAGAAGCGCGATCTGAGCAGGAACCAGAACCGACGGGCCTGTCACATACTCGGTGTGCCCGGTGTTGTGGTTCCGGATGCGGTCTCGAAGGTTGCGTAGTAGCTCACGTTGTCAGCCGTGGCCAACGTGAACGTTGGACGGGTAACCGAGGAGGGTGTACGATTGTGGTGCGCGCAGGTCATGTTGATGATATCCTCGCAGAACCTTGTCCTAACGGTGACGAAAGGTTCTCCGGGCGATTCTTCAATGCGTGCCAACTCTCCGCAATCGCCCATGCGAGTTGCCATCCCGCCAGTACGGCGCCAGAGCTTGCCCGAGTAGGCGATAGTCTGCGGGCTCCGACGCGAATATCACTCGTCGTGGGTTCGCCCTCAACTGACCGCCGCCCATCGGACCACGCCTGCTGCCTCATGGTCATCCACCATCAGACTGACTGGATTCTCCCAGGTTCATCGACGTTCGACCGATACCGAATTTCCATATCGCGGACTTCAGCCCGCCGTGGACGGCGTCACTGTCACGCCCAATATAAAACTCGAATATTCAACTTGTCCAAATTGTCGAGTTGTCCAGAGCTGGCTAGTGCGAACACCACCGACGCTGTAGGTGCGACCCTGCGGAATCCTAGAGCAACGCCAGTGTCACGAGAGGATCTGGAGCAAAGAGAATTCGAGAGCTCACCCTGAAGTTCGTCGATAGAAGGGCAGCGCGCCGATACATTGCTGTTGCCGGGGCTCTCCTGTCGGATCATGCGGGGAAAAATGGTGCGAGTCAATGGGCGGAGACCCCTTGTGAGTCTCCTGGGGCGCAGCCGTTGACAAGATTCTTCTGCATCAATGCATGTGGCGTAAGACATTGACATGCCAGTCATTCTTCCCTGTCCACGGATGCGGCCAGTGTGATGGGCGACGCTGGCTGTTCCAGTGGCTAGGGGATTTTCTGGACAGAGTGGGCAGGTACACGTCGCCCACCGCGCATCTTTGTCGTCTATCAGATGGAAGAGCGGTATCAGGAATAGTCAGTAGAGGTTTCGAGGTTCACCTAAGGTTCGGCCAGGCGCCACGGTGATAGACGTAAGTATGCACTTACTCGGGCTCTGATGATGAAACCAGAGATATCACCCCTCCGTTCCTGTCTTCGGCACCTTGGGGGTTTCGTAGAAGTGCGGCTAGATGCGGACGTGCGACGACCGCACAAGAATGTGCGCCACCCGAGCGTTGAACGGCCGCGCTGGCATTTGGGGCTGGCGAAAGCTGCGCCGATGCCCTCGCAGCTCGTGCGTGCTATGCGTTGTCACTGTCGCCGACGTCAGTGGCGAACGCAGGCTTCGGGCGGCAATTGGGCGTCCCCGATGGCGATGTAAATCACTGCGACTGCTCCGATGTGACATCGCCTGTAAAATTGGCGCGGGGGTGGGGTAGCACTGGAGGACTGCTTCCGGGGGCGGTCCCTGTGTCATTGCGTTAGCACGCTGCGAGATATCATCACACACTCACTGGACCCGAGCCGGAGCCGTGCCCTTTACCCGCCTCCCCCCCGTACCCTCGATGCCGACCAACGTTCGCCCGGGATGCCCAGACGCCTTCGAAGTGCGCCAACTCAATACACGACCCTCGGGCGCGAGTGGATTTACCCAAGAGGCTGCGGATGTGCTCCGTCTTGACACAAGCACGGAAGTTGTTTCATCAATTAACAGGACGTTTCTTCGCCGCACAGACGGTGTGTGCCATGCCCCCCGCGTCCGTCGGCGGAGCCTGGACGCGGTCTCAGCAGGAGGGAAAGATAGGTCGCGTAATAGGTGTTTGCAATCGCAGAGGGGGAGATGTTCCCCTTACGCTATCTGGATTGCGTTTGCTTCGCTGGCAATAGTGTTCTTGGTCAGCGAAGACCGCATTCGAATATGCGGGGTGCAGTGTCGTCGACGCCACAATCCAGAGCAACCCAGGATAAGATATCGGTGGGCGCGGGAGCATTGGCCGCGGCGCGACTGTATGCACATCCAAGTGGAGCCTCCGCCGGACCTCGGTGACAGGTTTACGACATGGGCGAGTGGATGACTCTGGCTTGAGGACTGTGGGCGGGTCCGGCGCCTGCGGAAGGTGCGTCTGAATGAGGTAGTGCTCTCGCTATTCTAAGCGTACGTACCCACAGCCTTCACTTCCGTGATACGCATGCGTTGGCTTCCCACCGCAGGCATTGGTGGTCCCAACGCTGACGCGGGGAGTCGCTCCGGACATCTTCTTCCCTGTGGGGCGCATCTATTCCTGCGAGCGGAGTACTCTGTGTTCTGTGAACGGTTCGGTGCAGTGCCCTGGTTACGGGCTATCGGACGCGAGATATCGCATGGGTTGTACCACGGGTAGAAGTGAGAGAATCCATCGCTTGCCATTCCGAAGGTTGGAGAAGTCGCCCCGTCACGGCGACCCCTTGTTCATGAATTGAAAAACGGTGTCGCCGGTCGACTGGTATGAAGGTGTGAATATCGATGCTGTTAGACTTTTCAGGACTACTGGGAATGCAGCTGTGGATTATATGAATGTGATGTATACAGGAATATAATGGACCGTACTAGGACATACCGATTCAACGTTGTGACAGCCTGCGACACCGTCGATATTGTTGAGTTCGCAGGGTGCTTCTCGTGCATCCATGAGATGACTAATTCATATAGATTCCATCAGTCGATTTGCGGAAATGACTGTGGTCATCTTGATTCAGCAGTCGACAATGCTTGGGGCTTCGGGCACGGGGTGGGTCGTGCAGGGTTGCAAGGACTCATTTTCTCGAAGCGAGCGCGAGTATCGACATGCGGAATGATTACATCTGTCGGGAATGGGGACTGTCCAAGTCTAACCCGCTTGAATCTGAAGCGGACACCTTGGTTCCTGCGCTCATATCCCCGCGTGGAGTGACGGCAATGTCGACTGCGATGTGGCCGCGGTCTCCGGCGAGATGTCTGTAACAAAACGCGGAAAACTCGTGTAAGCCGCGGTCGCCGTTCTGGTTGTCGGCATCTCCCGTATCATCGGCTGCATGCGAGGGCTGATGGAGGTAATGGTCGTTTCCGAGTGCCTGCGAGACTGCGGGTGGTTGAAATGCGAACAGTGATTATCTGGTTGTCCTACACGGCTCGGGTGGTCATCAATCTGCGAGGCCTCAACGACGCTAACTTGGCTGTGGAAGGGGCAGGACGCTCAGAACTAGTGGATTGATTCACTCAGTAAGCAGAGAACGTCCCCACGTACCCGTCATTAGAAACGAGGGCACCTCCTTGTGGCGACCTTGATGCGCTATGTGCCTCTTCTTCATACGACACGGGAAATTATCGTAGTCGTCCTGAAAAGGAGGCAGAAAATCCAACACAAGCCAGCCACAATAGGAATCTTGCGACTGAGCCGTCCTTGACTCGCCGTGAAGATGGGGACCGACGAAAAGACGTAATGTACATTGCAATATCTTTGAGATGCCTGCTTGGCAACAGTGTCGTTCAAACTCGCTCCGACGGTCACGGTCATTTCGTGATTGGTCGCCTTTATACCAATGTATCCACTGCGGTAAGTACATACCTGGTACGCGAGAACGAAGCCAGGACGAGCCCCCTCAACCGCCTGTGAGTCGGCAAGGGATTGAGCGTTCGAATATTGAGTTTGGCTGGCGGTATCCGACCGGGAGGTGGCTTCGATGGCCAAACGTCTTGTCGAACTGCTCTACGTTTAGACCGGTGCAACATGGCGGCAACTTGAACGATATTCTGGGTCTTCTGTGCTCGGTTTCTGGTGAAGCTTTGAAGTTTGAGGATAGTGGTCCGAGTTCGACGCATCACATATTTGTCGGACCGAAATGCCGAGTCACGGGAAACGGTGGGTCACAGTATCTGAGCGTGACCCGTGACTGAGTCGTGCTCAGCTACAGTACTGAGTGACCCCGCCCAAAAAGCGCGTCTTGCTCCATAACGACCACCTGCCAATCCAGCGCACTTGCCGTGCTCATGTGTAGTTTGCTTCGTAGCTGCAGCATTCTTTGTCCTCAGCAAGCAGTCTTGATCTATGTTGTGCTGGAAGCCAGACACGCGACTGCTACCGTAACTTCGTTCCCCACTAGCGAAGTCGAGGTACGCCGCGCTATGCTTCAGGACAGGGACTACTGCTGTCAGGAGGGGCGAAAAGGCCGACCTGGGAGTCCGCAGATACCTACAGTATGGCTGGCACACCTCCCCATGCCCGGCACGCGGTAGACATTCCAGGACGGTCGCGGAGCGCATCCAACGTGCAGAACGCATGCATGCAAGCACGACATGACGTCGTCGATGAGCATCTGCCATTGTGACCCCTTCGAAGCACTTGCACGCAGCATTCATGTCTCTTGTAGGTCCACCGCGTCCGATCGTCCCGCCCGGATCCTATGTGCTCGCGATCGCACACTAGAACCTAGTGCCAGTCTCCGGACTTGGAGATGGCTGGCAACGGTGCGCACATTACACACTCTCCAAACGTGCCCCTTCACTTTCGCGCTTCGTTCATTCAGCAGACACCCTACAGAAGCGCATTCTAGGTTAGATGAACGTAAGAGCGTCTGGACACTTCATCTGCGCTGCGGCACCTGAGTTCTCCTTCGTTTCCCCTTGGCATAAACTGAGGCCGCGTGTTGGTTGCGGTCCTATCCCGCCGTACAGGGCGCTACAAGCAATTACAGATGGGTTCTTCGCAACAGCCGGTCCACAAGCCTATTCAAATGAAAGAACCCCGCTGGCGTCCCGTCGCTCGTGTGCCGCAGTGCTGCAGTCAGCTCCGAGAAGGGCCGACAAAGTAGCATAGCAGCGTATCGAAAGTGAGTAACAGACTACTCGATCGTCCGTCCGCGCTCTGGGCTCTGCAGCACCCCCCATCTTCCCAGGCCGCCCGTCGCGCATCAGGTTCCCACTCTCATCCCCACGCAGGCCTGCATTTGTCCAAGTCCGATCTGGCCTTTGGCCTGTGACTGCACTGGCCAATTCTATCGCAACGATCTGCATATGCCTTTCCCTGGCCGCCTGAGATCTCCTGCCTCCTGCAGCAGCCCTGCAACGTGTGGGATAGCCCTGGGTCAGTCAGCCCCGGCTGGCACGCTAGCCAGCCGCCGGTGCCAAGACCTGCTGCAGCCAGCAGCCAGCAGCCAACAGCCTCCGCGCGCGATCTCCGCCTCGCCTCGCCTCCCCCTGGGGATCCCATCCGCGTATCGGTATCGACACGTCCCCCCACACCATCAGACACAGTGTCGTAGAACGTCGACGAACGCTCCCGAAGCGTCCTGCAAGCAAGCCCGTGCCCACTGCTATCGTCTCACATGTCCACCGGCACCAGGCGTGCTGCACGGGCTTGGGTGCCAGCTTCCCGCGCCATCGCCTGCCTCGTGCCCTTCCTCGCCGGAGAACATCCGCGGGGGAGAGACAGCCCCTGTGCGTCTTCGCGATCATCTCTCCGCTCGTCTTTGCTTTGGGCTCGCAAATGACCCCTCGCTTCCTTCGTTCGAGGATGCTGTGATGGATGCGAGTCTCGCAGAACGCTCCGGACAAGCACTACGTACTACGGGGCGGATCCTCCCCCTCCTGATGGCCTGAGCAGTGCGTATCCGAGCCGTACCGTCTTGACAGCATCCCCCTGGCGGCAATCGATGGCGTTCTCTATCGAAGACAGACGTATGCGCCGCGACGTCGATCCTTGCACCGTCTCCGGCTCGCCATCCGCCATGCATACATTCATCTTCAACCTCGATGTCCGCGAATGCCGTGCTCTGCTTGCCCCAGGGCCCGCGAAGGAAAGCAAGCCGCGCACTCCAGCTCCGACCTGGGTCGGAGGTTCCGACCACAATGTTCCTACGCCAACGTTTTCCTGGGTGCGCGTTCATTAGTACAGCTCGGCTCCCGATCGACGAGTCGAGCTCAAGATCCGTCGACCACGTCATAGCAGCGTATGTATGCGTACACTTCCACACGAATTTGGCCTCAGCGCGCCATCTAGTCGGACATCGGATTCGACGCCGCTCGGACGCCTTCACAGGTCTCACTGCAGTCAAAGCATATGAAAGTTTCCAAAGGCGGCTTTGCCAATCCGGGGCTGGGTGTGTTATGTATGCGACTACGACAACAGTTACATAACAAACATGGATGGATGCGCGAGATTTGACATGGGAGGGGGGGGGGCGTTGCTAGTAATGCTTAGCCGAGGCGTGCATGCGAAGGGGGGGAAGGGGAGGGATGACTTGCGAACGAGAACAGTGATGCAGAATGTGACTTGATGGACGACTTGGGGGGAGAAGGGGGCGGTGAATGATGAGTGCAGGGAAGCCTTAGTGTACAACACGATGGTCCGCTGGTTGCATGTGGAGGTCAAAGCGGCAGTATACGAATAAGCAACGACGTCGTCGTCGTCGTCGTCGATGGGTCGGCGGCATGGGCTTGGAGAAACAAATATGAAAGCGAAAGCAGAGTGATGGTGATGCATGATGCGGGTGGTGGTACAGATGGGAGGGGGGCGTGTGCGTGTGTCGCAGCATACCGCAACGGCGAATGGGCAGACCAAGCTCGAGCGGGGGTTCGTCATGGGCAAGGCGACGGGCGGGGTGACGGGTGGAGGTATAGTGAGTTGGGATGTGTGGCGACGATGACGACGTCTGTCGGTAATAAGGAGGAATACGATTAGCGGTCCTGAGCACAATGGAGGTAAGCCTGTTGGGTCGAGCCCGCCTGCGACGACGCTGCGACTCACCATAGCCGGGGGTATATCGACGCGCGCGGGTAACATCGGGCGCATAAGCGGGGATCAACAAGCAACAGCGGGGCGCAGAGGGGTCCATCTCCAGAAACGGCCAACACCGACTCCTACGACGGCGCCGGGCCAAAATTCGCGATCCAGAAGTCCTGGTCCTCCTTCGTCGGCCGCGTCAGGCCCACAAAAAAGCTGTCGCCCTGGAGCAAGTCGACCCTGCGCATGCCCGTCCTATGCTCCGCGACGCTCCTCAGGCTCTCCGCGCACCGCCGCTTGTACGCCTCCTCGCAGCGCGGCATCTCCCCGCGCGGGATGTACTCCTTGCGGTCCTGCCGCGTCGTCACCTGGTACAGGTCGTCCGACAGCGCCTGGAACACGTCCTTGACGAGCAGCGGCCCGCCGTCCGCCCGGCGCACCGTTACGCTCCACCCCGCGAACTTCGGGTAGCGGATGCTCATCTCCGTGAGCTGCGCGCCGCCGGGCGCGGCCTCGCACACCTTGCGGAGCAGGTACTCGTCGACCTTGTGCTGCGGGAGCTTGCCGCCGTACGGGCGCGTGTCGCGGATGGCGATGAGCTCGACGGGCTTGGCGGCGTCGAACTCGACGCGGAGCGTGCGCTCGCTGCGGTACGTGTCGAACGGGCAGAGCTGCCAGTGCAGCCGCGTCTGGTGGACGGGGACGGAGGGGCCCTGCGGCGGGGCTGGCGTGGGCGCCGCGGATCGTGGTACGCCTGATGGATGGGACGCAGAGCGTGTGTGAGGCGTGCACGCAGGAGGGGCGAGGTGGTCAAGGTCAGTATACACGTGCGCATGCATCACCCACGGCATGCGGCAGCGATCGTGCCGGATCCGGGGGCGGGAAGCGAAGAGAAGCGGAGGGACGTACTGTGCTTGAGTATCGACTTGGGCGGGCGCGCGGACACAGGGGTGGGCGAGACCAGGCCCTGCATGACCTGCACGGGCGTCGGGTGGTGCGCGGAGGACGCGCGCTGGGGCCGCGGCTTGAAGATCTCGGGCGAGGGCGTGAACGTCTCGCGGCAGAGCGACTTCTCGAGGTCGGACGTCATGACGTGCCACGCGGGGCTGCGTATCTCGTACTGGGGCGTCTCCGCACGCACCGAGGGCGGCGGCCTCGAGTACGGGGTGACGGGCCTCTTCCAGGGGGCGGGGGACGAGGCGGGGGTGCTGGGGTTGCTGGAGGAGGAGACGGAGCTGCCGCTGTCGGACGACGCCCAGCTCTCGGCGAAGGCGGGCGGGAGGGCGTGCGGGGACATGGGCGAGGTCGGGAGGCGGTCTCCCTCCCCGAGCTCTGGCAGGGGCAGCGGCTTGTGCTTGGGAGCCTGGGGCGTGGAGTCGAAACTCTTGGACATGAGCTTCTTCCACATCGTGCTGCTCGTGGGTGGTGGGAGGCGATGAGAGTCGATTCGATCACGATGTTCGGGGAGGGAGACGGGCTATCGTTGGAGCCAGTGCGGGGAGTTCGGGGAGGGCAGGTAGGCCCAGGGGATCGGCGTGAGTGGGGGATCGCTGCGCAGGGAACGGGTGAGCTGTGGTCTCTTGTACGGGGAGGCGAGATGTGGGGGCGGAGGAGGGGCGAGAGATGGCAGAGCTGGAGATGGCGGGGCGAGGGAGGCGTACTCACTATCAGGTCGTGGCAGGTGGAGGCGTCGTGGACGATGGGCCCCAGCCTGCTGGCTGCCTGCGCAGATATGGACCGAGAGGCCCCCCACAGGGAAGCGCTTGATGCCAGCGGGGAGAGCAGAGCAAGAGCAGAGCAAGAGCACTATCCCTCCCTCTCCTTTGCCTCGCCCCGCACACGAGGCAGCCCATCCCATCTCCATATCCGGCAGGCGGTCCGCATCCACCTCCACCCACGTGACCCCTTTCCTGTTTTCCCCTGTTGATCGCTATGGGTCCAGCCCGTCCTCATTCCATCGTGCTCTTTGCGACCCATGCTCTGCACTCGACATACATGCCCACAATCGTCGCCTCGACTTTGGGAGTTGATTGTGTGACCGAGGCCTCCTCATCAGCCTCACGCGGCTCCGCGCGTTGCCCTCCGTTCATTCGCCTTCATCGTTATCAGACCGAGTCCCTTCTCAGGCGCTCACAAGTCAACATACATGCAGATGCCTCCACACAGCCGGTCGCAATCACGGAGTAGCTCCCGGTTCGCGGTGCGGTCATGAAACTCTAAGTATCCCCCCGCGTTCGACACCGGAAGCGCCCACCACAAGCATCCCAGGGAGGACAGCCATAGCCTCTACTTCCTGCTATGGACGTCACTTGGGCGTACACGGCCTCCGTCCTCAACATCCCCATTCCTCAACCCGGCTACGACCACCCCCGCAAGAATACACCCGGGGCACTGCGCCACGTCGCCACAACTCCCACAGCGCCCACATACCCCCATCCATGACTGGCAAGTCGCGACGAAAAGAAGCCCTCGCGACCTGCCTAATCCGCACACCTCGTCCTAGCATGGCGTTCTGGGACTTTCCTTCCCCGTCGCGGGCGGTGTCTCGCGCACCAGGATCGCGTCGATAACGTCCGATGGCCCCCGAGATAGAAGCCTACGTTCCTAGGCCGCGCTGCTACATATGCTCGGAAACATACACGCTTTTTGCGGTCTGAACAGAGCCTCGTCTCGTCCTCACGTCCAATACTCCCTTCAATCCACAATCCACACAACCCCGGAGTCGGACCAGCCGCGGCTCCTTATCATAGACACACATACACATACAGGCCCGCAGCCCGCAACGTTGACAGCAGCGGTCGCCGACGCTGTCATTGCATTACAGCATCAGTCGCAGGAGAAGCATGAAAGCCGGCCGCGCAACCCGGCCGCCGCGTCCGCGGAGCAGCACCGTCTCGTACGCGCCCGTGCGCCGGACGCGGATGCCGCGCCGCAGGAGCGAAGAAGAGGCGGAGGCCCAGTACCGCGGGGAGAAGAAGCTCGGCGAGCCGGGTCTCCTGGACGCCTGGCTCGCCGCGCGCCTGAGCCAAATGCCTACAACGCAAACCCAGCTGCGCGGCGCGGAGCGCCCGGACGAGGACGGATACGAAGACGAAGGCGGAGGCGGAAAGGGAAGGTGGGGGGACGAGGTCCATTGCACGGTGCAGGTGCAGTGCATCAAGGTGAGCCGCAGGTCTCGGTCGATCCCTGTTCCGAACCTCCCCCCTCCCCCGGAGCCTTCCAAGGTTCACAGAAACGAGAAGGGGGGGAGGGGGAGGCAGGTCAACAGCCCTGCCCAGGCCGTGCGTGCTGCTGTACAAGCTTCGAACCGGATGTGGCTGACGGGCGCTCCCTTGTTTTGCGCAACTCCCATCCCACCGTATGGCGTATTGGAATTGGGATCTGGCGACAGGCCCCAAACGACCCGGACAGCATCTTCAGTGACCCGGACACGTTCGTCCTGCACCTCACCACCAGTTCCCCCCTCTCAAGCACGAGACGGCCAATACAGACCACAACAGGCGCCGAACGGCGCCTCGGGGGAACTGATGGGAGCGACAGATGGCGGCGAATCGAGCTGGGCACGTACGCAGGGCACCCAGAGAGCCTCGACGCGCCGCCGTGGACGAGGCTGCTGCCCGCCGGGCAGGTGGTCGAGTTTCGCGAGAGCGCCGCTGGGTTGGCCGAGCTCCTCGCGCGTGCGGCGCCATGGAATTGCGAAGACGCGATGACGGTGAGTCCGCCCGGACGCGTCATGCCACCGGCGCTCGACTCGGAGGGGAAGACGCGAGCTGACGTGCGAGCTTCGCCTGCCTTCGCGGGCATTGTCCTATGTAGCCTTTGCTGCAGTCACTGGGCGCGGTGAGCCTGAAAGACGACTGGGAGTCTGGTTGATTGCCTGGAGGCGGAGACAGGAAAAGCGTCTGGGACCGGCAGGCCCTCTGCGAGTCCGACACCGGACAGCCGCGTGTTGCGACTGCGTGGGCACGGAGAGGGGAGGCATACTTAGAGTCCTAGGACGAGGCTGGGCCGGTGGAAGGAGACGCTGAGGGCTATCGTGCAGGGTCACGCTCGGTGATGTGGCGTGGAGAAGGAGGAAGCGTGAGGCGGGGGCACATGAGCGTCGTAGAAAAGGTCGCTTCTGATGTGGAACGTTGGACGAGAGTAGCTGTATGATAAGCGAGTAAACTGCATTGAATACCCCGCTTCCCCAGTGCACAAAGTAGGAAATCCAGAACGGCTTCATTGTGGTATGAAGCGACGAGAGCAGTATCCCAGGAGACATGCACGAAAAGGACGGGGCCTAGACAGATGAGAAGGAGGTAGAGAGATCTGAGCAGTGATCATCCAAGGCGTGGCCTGCGAGGCGCTGCATGCCTGAATTCTAGATGGTGAAAGAAGGGGTCGTAGTCGGGAATTGGGCCGCACATACCAGAATTGTCGTCCGGGAAGGGCTCGCCACCTAATGTAAAGACGACCCCACGCAGAGGGAAGGCCGGAGTGGTCGGAGAACCCTATGATCGAGCACAGACATCAGCCACGCGTGCCTTGCACGCACCTGGCGGAGTAAGCAGAGGCTGGGTAAGCGACAAACCGTACGTGCTGCGCGGTGTGAATGCAAATCTACCGCTGAGAACAGAACGAAGGACTGCACTTGCAGACGCTGCGGCGCGACGGAAGAAGCAATAGAGATAGAAGGCGATGTGCGATGAAGGACGGCTTGGGAACATCGGGCAAAGAGCTGCTTGAACTGGTCTTGAGATTCCGTCTATGTTCAAATAACAACTCCACAGGCGAACGGAACTTGAGGGTATCAGAGTGAAATAGGTAAGACTAGTTAGGTCGTCAACGCAATTTGTGCCTTCATGTCAGCGCTGCCAAGAGGCAGGGACGTAGTTTGCAACGAAAGCCTAGCTCTACTTGGCCAGCACGAACCATAGCAACAAGGAGGGCGCAGCAAAGCACAATGATCCGCGGCACAAAATTCGAAGCGTTAGAATCGCAGAGACGGACTCGAATGGCAGACATGGGCATGGAAGCAGGAAGACAGTGGTGGTTGGACGGCAAGTTGCTCGACGCTGAGGCTCGTCGGACGCAGCAACCAGGGTCCAGGGCGCAGTCAACAAGCGCCGAGTCATCGCGCCGGAGAAAGCCGAAAGAGACACTGAGGCCTCTCACGTGACAAGAAAGTTTCTGGAGGGGATTTTGGTGTCGCCGCCGTCGTGCCCGTCGTTCTGCTCGTCGTTCTCGGTGTCTTGCCTCGGCCGCTCCCTTGCTTCCTTCTATCCGGCGGGCCATCTTCTGCCATGGCTACTCACGCCCTCTTTGAGACTTCCTCCGGCTATGCAATCTTCGAGGTCAAGCTGCACGATGTTGTCGGTGCACTGGACAAAGCCGTACAGGCTTCCATCGACGACTTCTCAAAATTCAACAAGATGGTATCCCTGGTTAGCTTCGCGCCTTTCCAAAATGCCGCGCATGCGTTGGAGAATATGAACGACCTCTCAGAAAGTATGTCTCAATAAATCCCTGCGCTCCTAGATGGAGCTTGACTTGCCGCAGACACCATTCACCCTTACCTCCGCGACATTCTTGAGCTCAACCTCGCCAAGCCGAAGAAGGGCTCCTCGGTTGTCCTTGCGGTCAACTCGGCCCTCGCGCCGGTGCTCAAAGAGCAAATGGGCATCAACTGCTCCTCAAAGGAGGTCGCGACGGACATTCTGCGCGGCATCCGCGAGCACGCCCCGAGGCTGCTGAAGGGCTTGCAGGACACAGACATCACCAAGGCGCAGCTCGGTTTGGGTCACGCGTACTCCCGCGCGAAGCTGAAGTTCAACGTGAACCGGATCGACAACATGATCATCCAGGCTATTGCCCTCCTGGACCAGCTCGACAAGGACGTGAACCTGTTCTCGATGCGGGTGCGCGAGTGGTACGGGTACCACTTCCCCGAGCTCGTGAAGATCGTCCCGGATAACTACCAGTACGCGCGCGTCGCGCAGTTCATCGGCGCGAAGGAGACCCTGAACGAGGAAAAGCTGCCGGACCTAGCTGCGCTGTTGGACGACGACGAGACGAAAGCGCAGAACGTCTTGGATGCGGCGCGGGGGTCTATGGGTGTGGAGCTCTCGGAGTTCGATATTCTCAACGTCGGCATGTTCGCAACTCGTGTTGTGTCCCTCGCGGAGTACCGCAAGTCGTTGCAGGCATACCTCCACGAGAAGATGAACGACGTCGCACCCAGTCTCACTGCTCTACTTGGTGATCGTATCGGGGCGCGTCTCATCAGCCATGCAGGAAGCCTGACGAACCTGAGCAAGTACCCCGCTTCGACTGTTCAAATCCTCGGCGCCGAGAAGGCACTGTTCCGTGCTCTCAAAACAAAGGGGAACACGCCCAAGGTACGTCTGCCTTTCAGTAGTACTGAGCTTTCTTCTAACATCCCGCAGTACGGTCTCATCTACCACTCATCGTTCATCGGCCGTGCAGGCCCCAAGTTTAAGGGCCGCATTTCGAGGTTCCTCGCAAACAAGTGCTCAATAGCAGCGCGGATAGACTGCTACACCGGTTAGTCTTTACCCAGCTATTCTGCTGTATTCCCTATTCTCATACCATCTGGCAGACACCCCGACTGCGAAATTCGGCGAGGCCCTCCGGCAGCAGGTCGAGGAGCGCCTCAATTTTTTCGAGACGGGCGAGCCGCCATCGAAGAACGCAGACGCGATGCGCAAGGTGTTCGAGTCGCTCGCGCTCGACGTGGACGAGGACGAGGAGTCGGATGAGGAGGATGCGATGGAGGTCGATGGCGCCAAGGCCAAGGCCAAGGCAAAGTCGAAGAAGGAGAAGGGCAAGGGCAAAGACAAGGCGGGGGACGCACTGCCGTTTGCCAACGTGGAGGTGACTCCGAAGAAGAAGGACAAGAAGGACAAGAAGCGGAAGAGTGACGAGGCAGGCATGGACTTGGACAAGGAGAGCGACGACAGCGCGCCCAAGAAGAAGGTGAAGCTGAGCAAAGAGGAGAAGAAGGCGCTGAAGAAGGAGAAGAAGAAGGAGCGCAAGGAGAAGGAGGCCATGGAGGTGAGTATCGACTCCGCGCTCTGCCCATCTGCTACATGCATGTGGTGTACGCTTTCACGGAGGGTGCTGACTCTGAACGTCTTAACACAGGGTGGCGAGTCGAGGAAGGACAAGAAGGACAAGAAAGACAAGAAAGATAAGAAGGACAAGAAGGAGAAGAAAAGCAAGGATTGATCCCTTTGTTTTCTCTCCCGTCTCCTTTCCTCTCTTCTCGTCGATGCTATCGCGGCTCTTGTCCTCTGTTTGTACTCTTTCTTGTGCTATCTATCTCTCCTCTGTTTCTCTACCTCAAAACACATACGCCGTTCGAAATTTGGTATGCTATATGCACGGGACACTGCCGCTAGATGCGTGTACAAACGCTAATCGGTGATACTATGAGCCGACTCCACTAATGCTAGTGCAACTTGTCAGTGAGATGCTAATGCTACAGGCGCTCGCGCGCATTAGGCGTGGAGGAGTGTCGCGTGGGTATACATGAGGGGTCGTCAACATCAGCATGAGGAAAAGTAAACAGGTATGTACGCGAAGTCGTAAGTGTATAGTCGTAGCATTGATATATCGTACCATCGACATCGGGGTTGCGCCCGATAGCAGAAGAATGAGCACTCATTGGATGAAGGAAGATCATTAATCGGAGGCGAGGGCAGCCTGGAACACGATGACGTTCGCCTGGCAGCCGGACACGACCAGCGCGGTCGTGACGTCGCCCACGGTCCGCTTCACCTCGCTCCCAACGCCCCCGTGCTCCTCCATGATCGCCTTCAGCTCCGCATGGTGGTTCTCGACCGCGAGTCGGCGTGAGCGCCCTGCGAGCACGAGCAGCCTACTGTGCTCCTCGACGGCCGTCTCAGACATCTTGAGTGCGTTCTCGATGATGTAGTGCAGCGGGTTGGGGGTCGATACCTCGACGAACTTCATGCGTGAGAGAGCGGGGGCGAGCGACGGGTCTGAGGGGCGGGTGTAACGTGCCCAGGCGATGTTGTCTGCCGTCTCGGACTGGAGGCGGGTCTGCGTCGTCGCGTGGCCGTATACTGTGTCCGGGAAGACCTGCAATCACATTCGAGACGATATGTCAGGAACCACTTTCTCCGAGACTGCCCCGTACTACAGACAGATCGTCTGCAGGGATCGACGTCGAAACGAAGATAAGGAGAGAAAGGAAGACTCACGGAAGCGATTGTCGCCAAGTTCTGGTGGTGCGCACCTGCGTCACCCGACCCATCCCTCTCTCCCTCGCCCAACACAGGCGACTTCTCCGTCGACACCCTTTCCCCAAGCCCGACCCCAAGTCCCTGCCCGTCAGCCGCCTTCGTCACGCGGACGACCGTCGCGCTGATCTTCGGGTTTGCGCACAGCTGGACCGCAAACTCGAGCGCGAGCCTGTCGTCCGGCCCGCCAAAGAACGGCACGAACAGTCGATGCGCGCCGCCGCGCGACACCTTCGCGACACCGCCGGGGGTGTGCCTGTCGACGAAGAGCGCGACGTCCGTACGCGCGGAACCGAAGAGCGCGCGCACAAAGTGCGAGTGCGAGATGGACGCGTCGCGCTCCTCGGCGCCCGCGGCGGTCGCACGGAAGAGCGCCTCGAACGGGTTCTGCATGTGAGTCGTCACGCGCGGGGTGGGCATCGGGGTCGCGTTGGCGGTGTGTTCTGCGGCGGGCGCGGGGTGGTGGTCGTTCGCGGCGGTGTGGTGGTGTGGGGGTAGCCAGGGGACCATGATGAGGTGCGAGTCGTTGCGGCGCGCCTGCTCGGAGACCGTCGCGCCGAGGTCCTCGAAGGGGACGATCGAGAGCGAGCTGCTGACGGGGGCACCGTGGAGTGCGCTGAAGGTCGTGAAGATGTCGAGGAGTGGATCTGTGGCCATAAGGGAGTCGATATTGGAGCCCTTCATGACGGCGGATGTACGGTCGGATAGCTCGATGAGGCGGATGGCGTCGATGGACACTGGTGTCGATCCGACCTCTGGCGGAGGCGACACGCCCTTTCCATCGAGATCTGCGCTGCTGTCCGTTGGTGGCGTCCGTTCGGCGTACGGGGGCGGGGGCGGTAGGATGAGTTGGGTAACCGCCATCATACCGGGCAAATGCTCGATCTTATCGAGGACAACTGTGAATCGAGACTTCCCCTCGTCATCTCTAGATTGACTCGTGCCCTCCAAACGAGGGATATCACCATTACCGCCTTGTGCATCAGCGCTATTGAAGTTGGCACCTGTCGCAGCAGCACGGACGCGTATCTCGGGCGGGTACAGAATCGTTACCGCGGGCGTGGTCATGAACGTGAGGAGAAGTGCCTCCAATACGAACATGGAAAAGACGCGTTGAGAGAGAATACCAGCGGACAGGCCGACGTTGAGGACAATAAGTTCCACAAGACTGACAGAGGGTGAGTTCCTCCACGATGTAGTGACGGGATAACAACTCACCCCTTGCAACTCATCAGCGAACCGATGGTACCGGCCTCGCGCCAGGTAAAACCAGAGAATCTTGCAGCGAGGGTACACCCGGTGAACTTGCCGAAGTACGCCAGCGCGCAAATTGCGATTGTGTATGCCCAAGTGATGCCTACAATGGCAATGGGCGCGTTTTAGTACCGTCACGGTGACCATGAACGCTGAGGCGCATACCATTGTTGAGCAGACCCAAGTCGGTGGACAGACCTGACAGCGTGAAGTACTAGACAGCCCATCAGTTCTGCATGCATGAGGAAGACAAGGTTACTCACAAGTGGCAGGAAGATGATAGAGACCATGTCTTCCAACTTCTCGGTAAGGGCGATCGCCAGTCCGCCCTCACGCGGAACGATGATCCCAGCAAGGAAAGCGCCAAAGATAGCGTGAACCTGGTCATATGGATCAGCACCGCTTCCTTTCATAGACGGAGTTGGAAACGCACGCCGATAATATCGGTGAAGAACGCGGACCCGAAGAGGAGAAGTATCGTCACGGTCATGAAGAACATCGTTGGTCCATCTCGGATCGAGCCGGTGCGGCGGGCGAGCCAGTAAAGGACGCGCTTGACGAAGAAGAGCAGGAATAGCGTCCAGCCAACGCAGACTAGGAGGATCCAGAGGGCCTCGAGGCCCGACCCGGCGTTGACGAGGGCGACCGAGAGTGCTAGGAGCGTCCAGCCGATAATGTCGTTGCCGACTCCAGCGGAGAGCACGACGATTCCAACTGTCGTATCGAGCAGCTTGAGCTCGGTTAGGATACGGCAGAGAACGGGGAACGCGGTGATGGAATATGCCACGCCCGTGAACAGCATGAAATTGGTGAACTTCACGCTCTGGTCAATGAATGTATGATAGAGAGGGACTGCAAGCGCAGATCCAAGACCTGGAGATTTGCTGATGTTAGCTGCGAAAGCATGGGGAGGGTAGCTGTGAATGTAGCATACCAAAGGGGAGACACATCCCAGCCATGGCCACAGTGACGGAGAGCCGAGCATTCCGCTTGATGACAGCGGCGTCGATTTCAAGTCCAACGAGGAACAGGAAGAGACAGAGACCAATGTTCGCCACGAGCGACAGGAATGGACGGGAGTCGGTAGGAAAGATGTGTTGAGTAAAGCCGGGTATACGACCGAACGCAGTGGGTCCTTGGATCATGGTCTGAGACGGCTTATTGCTACTGCAAGGACGGAAACAACACGCACCAAGCAGGATACCTCCAATGACTTCAGCAATCACCCTAGGCTGTCTTATCTTGCGCAGAACGAGAGAGAGCAGCTGAGTAGTTAGGACGATGACACCTGCCTCAGCATCTTCAGTATCCCCGCGTGCTAGGTCTATGGCGATCGGAGATTCTTACCAACTTGAATGATCCACAAGCGCAGTGGATCGTTAATGTTGATTGCAGTGGGATCTTGACCACTCAGCAACCCGCCCTGATCGATGAGCGGTGTCAATATCGTTTCTTGCATCTAGTCGAGACATGAGGCTCACCTGTTCCTGGACTGCCCTCTTGTGCAAGACAAGTCGCGAAACGTCGAGCATCGCTTTCGACAATTCAGGCATCGTGAATACTGGTCGAAGCACAAGAGCAATGCACGACTGTTCTGGGTGGTTCGTAATGTGGACACGAGAAGCCCACGAATGATTATGTAGTCCGATAGGAAGTGCGGCCTATTTTCAGCCAAAGCTTGCGAGGGTGGAGAATGGATGTGGTGCGCAGAGCAAGATGTCCACCATTCGCCGATGGTGTAGAGCGTTCGCCGAGAGATGTGGCGAGGATGTACGGGCCAAGTCGAGTTGGGCGAGGTCCTGGCCCAAGCCCCACAACTTGAGTCTCAGCCACAGCCGAGCGATCCTGCTCCCTCGGCTATCGGCCCGATCATTCAGCTTCCTCCACCTTTGTCTTGCGGCCACTCACCGCGTTTTGGGCCCTCCTGGTTCACGGGCGAGTTGCTGCGAATAGATGTGTACTCAGAGTCTGGTTGGAGGCGTAACTAACAGGCAATTCACGCTCTAAACAAATCAGAATACCTGTGAATAATGCACTTGCCGAGATGAGGTTGCAGTTCAAGTAGATGGTCTGGTCGAAGGTTCAAGTAGACGGTCAATTTCAGGCTGGATCAGGCGACCTGTTCGATGGTATAGACCCGTCCTGAATATCAGCTAAATCATCATATATTTCAATTCGTTATCCCATATTCCTAGAATAGAAGTTACGACGAAAATGCATATTATGATAGCTATTACGGCGACATCATATCGTAAATACGGAAATCCTACAGTACTAGTGATATCGCAAGTCCATCGTGGGCCATCGATTCGCATGCTCGCAGTCTTACACCCTACTTCATACTGCTCATTCCAGTGACAGTTAAGAC